TGGTTAAGGAGATTTATCATTATTATTAAACAATTTGGTTTGACGCTTAGTAAAGATGACCACTCACTATTTTATCGTCACTCAGTTTCAGGATCCGTTTATTTGATGGTCTATGTTGACAATATTATCATTACAAGTAATGATCATCATGGCATTACTCAGGTAAAACAACATCTGAGACATAACTTTCAGACAAAGTATCTTGCTAAACTTCAATATTTCTTAGGGATAAGGTAGCTTAGTTTAAGGATGGTATTGTGATATCTCAAAGGAAGTTTGTTGTGGATATTCTTAAGAAAACAACTCTGTTGAATGCAAAGTCAATTGAAACTCTTGTAGATCCAAATGTCAAACTTTTACCAAATCAGGGAAGTCATTCTCTGATCTATAAGGGTATAGAAGATTATTTGGGAAGCTAAACTACCTCACTGTCACTAGACCAGACATCTTTTTTGTGATTTGTGTAGTGAGTTAGTTCCTTAACTCTCTTTATGTAGATCACTGGAATGCAACAATTCATATTCTCAAGCACATCAAATCAGCTACAAGGAAATGTCTCTTCTATGGGACAAAGGTCATACTAGAGTCGTGGGATACTCAGGCAGGTTTTCCTAATGTTAGGAGATGCACCTATGGATATTGTGTGTTTATTGGAGATAATTTAGTCTCCTATGAAAGTAAGAACTAGAGCATGGTAGCTATATCGTGTGCTGAAGCAGAGTATCGCTCCATAGCCACAGCCACTTATGAACTTGTCTAGCTAAAGCAACTGCTCAAGGAATTGAAGTTTGGTCACACTGAGCCAGCAACTCTCATTTGTGATAATCAAGTTGCCTTGCATATTGCCTCCAATCTAGTATTTCATGAAAGAACTAAGTATATTTAGATAGATTGTCACTTCATTAGAGAGAAAATCTTATCAGGGGAGATAGTTATAGAGCTTGTCAACTCAAATGATTAACTAAGAAATGTCTTTATTGAGTCCTTGAGGGGTCCTTGAATAGATTATATATGTAACAAGTTTGGAGCTTATAATTTTTTTATTTCTATATATTTTTTACTACTTTAAAAAATCATAATAATTTTTAAGCCAATGTTTGGTTACCTATAAAATACAAAATAGTAACAAAATGCCAATATGGCATTGTCTTGTCGATCGATATGGTCAAGTTATGTGTGTTAGAAGTTATTCCATGTCAACACTCACCAGGCAAGGCACCTGTGTGAACCAATCCACAACCCAAGCAACACAATTGGGACAAAGAGCAAACCAATCAAGATTTCGCAGCAACGAGGCAACACGTAACAAAAGGAAACCAGCCCATCTAAAGGATTATTTAACTAAGTATCTTTATGCAGAAAGGACTTAGCCCAGTAGAGGAATTGTTGGATATTTTCTTAACTTCTGTTGCTTTTATAGTTTCTTATTTCAGACCATCTTAATTTTATTAAGTTTGTTATGTACTGAATTAAATAGGAGTGGAAAGTAATGAAAAGTCAGAAATATTCACAATCTCTCTCTCTAGCTCTCTTATCCCCTCTCTCTCTCGCTACCCCTCTTCATTCCTCTCTAAAAACATTCTAAAACCCTACATCATCACGTGAAATAATGTTTTTTTTATACATGAATGTTATATTTATAAAAAAAATTATTTACAGATTATATTATGTATTTTGTGAAATACATTTTAAGTGAGTGTATTTTTCAAAATACATAATATAGTTGATAAAAATTTATAAATAAAAAATTTATAAATTTAATGCTTCCCATTTATATTATATAAAAAAATTTGTTAATTGTCGCACCAAATTCAGAATGGCACAACACCGTTCTGACACTTAAGTTTTATATTAATTTGTTGTTAGAATTTCATGTAGAATCTTTGTTGCGTGGCTTGTTTCTGTTACCCTTTAAAAACGAGAACAGTGGCCAAAGTGCCACTGTTGGCAAAAAAAAACACCAAAATGCCACGCTAACAGTAAATTTTGCCAAAATGCCATGTGGCATATTTTCCTACACTCTGTAGCGAAATATGTGTGCAAATAATTCGCTACACGGTGTAGCAAAATATGCCGCATCAGAATGCACAGAACCAAAAATGCCACGTGTCAGACAGGGAGAATTTTGCTACACTGTGTAGCGAAATTCTTCTTGTTTGACACGTGGCATTTTTGGTTCTGACGTGGCATATTTCGCTACACCGTGTAGCGAATTATTTGCACACGTATTTCTCTACACAGTGTAGCGAAATATGCCACGTGGTATTTTGGCAAAATTTACTGTTGGCATGGCATTTTGGTGTGTTTTTTTGCCAACAGTGACACTTTGGCCACTTTGGAGTAGGAAGCGACACATTGTCACATGTTGTAGCAGTGAAATAGACCTTTATGCTGATTGAGATTCACTGGTTTCTTTGAAAGGTTTCTGAGATAGAGTGAGAGCCGGTGCTGCGAAATCCCCATCTTCTACTGAACAGGAACTTGTTAGAAATTGAAAGTGGGATCGACGATCACCTTGCTAATAAAGTTCTTGGGTCTATGCTACAACCAGAAGGAGTTCCATTCGCAATAGAAGAGACTCGGTGCTTTTAGCTGATTTCATCACTTACGGGTTTAGGAATTTACTGATGCATTGGCACGTATTGTGCTTGTATAATTACGTGTTAAGAAAAGAACCAGGAGAGTAGGATTAGATGAATCGTGTATGGACAGAAAGCATTAGTGGTTAGTAGTTAGTTGAGTATAAAGATGTATCAAATGTTTTTTCAGAGGTATCTTGAATAAAAGCAGAGTTCTTTCTCTTCAATTTTTCCTTTTCCTTCTCTTCTTAAGGGTTCCACCATTAACATTGGTGCTTTCATTCTACACTTTCACTGTTCTGGACGCCATGACAAGGGTTCAAGAATTGTCGGAGGAGCTCCATTCTTTCCAGCAACGTGTAGACACCTAATTTGACGAATTACGTGTGCAAGCAACGATGCAAGCAACGAACACCCGCAACCAGATTTCCTTGCTGGTTAATCAGATGCAACAACTCCAGGAGGTGGTGCGTGCTACCCATTCTCCTCGCCGTGAAACTTCCAATGGCAATGCTTCATCTTCGCCTCTTTCACGTCCAGATTCCACCGATCCACGTTCCTTACTCAAAGGGGTTCGCATGGAGATGCCTCTGTTCAATGGCAATGACCCCAATAATTGGATCTTTAAGGATGAACTTTTCTTCACTCTTCAATCGATTCCGGAGGATACTAAAGTGCCATTAGCTGGGTTGAAGATGGATGGGATGGCTGCTTCGTGGTTTCAATGGACCTTCAAATCAGGTAGCGTTCGTTCTTGGGGTGATTTCAGTGCTGCACTTCGTCATCGGTTTGGCATTCCTGGGTTTACCAATTTGAAAGGGTCGTTATCTAAATTGACCCAAACATCTTCTCTTCGCCATTTCATTCAGCAATTTGAGGCATTAGTGAATCAAACTCCAGATTTAGATGATGGCCTTCTCAAAAAAAAATTCACTTCGGGTCTCTAATCAGAGCTTCGTGGTGCGGTTCAATTACGGGAACCTATTTCCTTGCACCAAGCCATCCAGCTTGCCATGGCTTACGATGATCATTTCGGTGAGTTGAAGAATTCTTTTCAAGGTACACAACGGAAATTTGCTTCTCGGTATAATTCGGCAGCTGATACTACCCCTGTTACTGCATATTCTCCTACTACTATGGTAGTTTCCCAACCTCCTGTGTCTACAACACAACGATTGGCCCTTCCTGCCCCTAACCAGGGCAAACGATTTTCTCATGTTGATTTTCAAAAACATAGGGATATGGGTCTGTGTTATACTTGTGATGAACAATGGACCTCAAAGCATATCTTAAAAATAAATTGATGCTGTTAGTGGGTGAGGAATCTGACCCGGATCCAGAAATGGAGGAGGAACACATTGTCTGGAAAGCTGACAATCCAGGTGGGGAATCACGAGATGCTTCTCTGCATGCTTTGAATGATGGAAATCATCATCGTTCTTTGATGTTTTTATCTACCTTAAAGGGTATGGAATTCTCAATACTGGTTGATTCAGGTAGTACCCACAACTTCATACAAAAGCAATTGGCTATTCAACTTTCTTTACCTATGTCCCATAGTCATAAAATTCGTGTTTTTTGGGAAATGGTGAGGTTATGATATCTGACAAAAAGTGTTTGAAGGTACCCTTGGTGATTCAAGGTACTTGTTTTGTTTGCGATATATGGGTGTTGGAATTGGCAGATTTGAGTGTCATCTTAGGCATGCCATGGCTGGAAAAGTTGGAGAAGGTCACCCATTATTATGTTAATAAGTTCATGGAATTCTTTTGGGAAGGGCAACCAAAATGTTTACAAGGCCATAGACTTGGTTCTGTTCACATAACAGACCCTGATATTGCTCATTCTGAATGGGGAATTTGTGATGTTCTGCAGGTTGAAACCAAACTACAAGAGCAGGATACCATTGGGTCCGAATTATTAGTCCTGAAGGATTCGGTTTCCAATGATATTTGGCCAGTTTTGGTCAAATTCCAACATGTGTTTTCAATACCATGTGGCCTACCTCCTTTTAGGGGCTTGGATCACTCAATTCACTTCGTAGATCATGTTTCACCAATTAATGTCAAGCCTTATCGATATGCTCACAGCCAAAAGTCAGAGATTGAACGGCAGGTATCTGACTTGTTAAGTGTTGGGTTTATTCAACATTCACAAAGCCCATTTTCCTCTCCTGTTTTGCTTGTTAGGAAGCAAGATAATTCTTGGAGGCTTTGCATAGACTATAAAGCCCTCAATGCAGTCACCATCAAGGATCGTTTCCCTATTCTAACTATTGATAAACTCCTGGATGAATTAGGGGGCTCCACTGTGTTTACAAAGCTGGATCTCAGAGCAGGGTACCACCAAATTCGAATGCTTCCAGATGATGTACACAAGACTGCTTTTCGCACTCATGATGGTCATTTTTAGTTCCTAGTCATGCCATTTGGCTTGACCAATGCTCATACTACCTTCGAAGCAGTCATGAATCATCTCTTCAAGGACCTTCGGCAATTCATCATTGTGTTCTTTGATGATATATTAGTATTCAACAAATCCGTGGAAGAACATATTCAGCATCTTGAAATGACATTAAGCTGCTTACAACAACATTGTTTCTTTGTTAAGCTCAGTAAGTGTTCCTTTGGCACCCGAAAAATAGAGTATTTGGGTCATGTGGTTGATGCCAATGGTATTTTTGCTGATCCTAAGAAGATATCTGCTATGGTGGAGTGGCCTGTTCCTAAAACACTTAAGCAGTTGAGGGGATTTTTGGGCCTCACTGGCTATTATAGAAGATTTGTTAGGAGCTATGCTACTTTGGCATTCCCACTGACAGAACTCTTAAAGGATCAGATACTTTTGTATGGATAGATAGAGCTGATGAAGCCTTCTCACAACTCAAGGCTGCCATGACTCAAACTCCTATGTTACGTTTGCCAAATTTTGAAGACCCATTTGTGCTTGAAACTGATGCCTCAGGTAGTGGAGTCGGTGTTTTCCTCCTCCAACATGAACAACCTATCTCTTATTTTAGTAAGAAATTGTGTTTTCGTTTAGCAAATGATTCAACATACATAGGGGAGTTATATGCCATCACAGTTGCTGTTAAAAGATGGCATCAGTACTTATTAGGCTCCAAGTTCGTGATTCGCACTGATCATCGAAGTATCAAGGAGCTTCTCACTAAAACAATTCACACGGAGGAGCAGCAAAAATACCTCTGGAAATTAATGCGGTATACTTTTCGTATTGTGTACAAACAAGGAAAAACAAATTTGGTTGCTGATGCCTTATCTAGGAAGTTTGAAGAGGGTCATCTCAATGCCATTTTGTCATAACCAGACTTTGACATAGTTACTGAGATCCAGAAACAGAACACAACAGCTCCACACCTCTTACAACATCATCAGCAGTTTAAGGACAACCCCAATGCTAACCCAGAATTCTTGGTTCGAGATGGAATCATGTTCTTCAAAGGCAGTTTTACACACCTTCCTGCGCCTTTCTGCTACCTTCTACTGGTCAACTATGCGCAAGGATGTGAAGCAATTTGTTAGAGAATGTCAAATTTGTCAACAAGTTAAATATGAGACTTCCAAATCCTCTGGCTTGTTGCAACCTTTACCTATACCAGAAGGAGTGTTCGAAGAGTTGTCTAAGGACTTTATTACTGGGTTACCAGCCTCCAAGGGATTCACCACCATCTTAGTAGTGGTAGATAGACTCTCCAAGTTTGCTTATTTTGGCTGTTTACCCGCAGCTTATACAGCTGCTAAGGTTGCTGCATTGTTCTGTGACCTCATTGTTCGTGTTCAAGGCTTTCCCCTTTCGATTTTGACTGACAGAGATAGTATATTTCTTAGTCAGTTTTGGATCCATTTGTTCAAATTAAGTGGTACCACGTTGAGGACTACTTCATCTTATCATCCACAATCGGATGGCCAAACCGAAGTTACCAATCGGTACGTAGAACAATACCTTTACTGCTTTTGTTATGAACAGCCAAGCTTATGGTCTCAATTTCTGGCTTTGGCTCAATACCACTATAACTCAGCTACTCATTCTGCTATTGGCATGACCCCCTAACAAGCAGTATTTGGGAAGACTCCTACATTGATTCCTTTTTATCCAAGGGGGCTCATAAAAATCGAAGCCATTGACACTATGTTACAACAGCAAAATGACATCATGAAGCAACTGAAATTGCATTTATAGAGAGCTCAAAACCGAATGAAGATACAATATGACAAACACCACAAGGAGAGAACCTTTCAAGTGAGAGATCAGGTATGGGTCCGATAACAACCTTACCGTCAAGTTACGGTGGAACGTAGAGCTAATCATAAGCTTAGTAAACGTTTCTTTGGTCCATTTGAAATCTTCTGTCTCTTGGGGCTTGCTGCGTATGAATTGAAGTTACCATCTGGATGTCAAATTCATCCTGTCTTCCATGTTTCACAGCTCAAACCTTGGGTGGGAACTCAGCAAATCAACGCCGATCCCTTGCCATCCTTTGTTGTTGACAACAAACCAGTACAGGTCCCTCTTGCTGTCTTAAGCACACGCATTGTAACTTCTCACAACAAGCAAGTTCGTGAATTCCTCATCCAATGGTCCCACTCAGTGCCTGAAGATGCTACCTGGGAGAAGGAAGAAGATCTCCAACGTTGATATCCCAATCTTGACCTTGAGGACAAGGTCAATTGTGAAGAGCGAGGGAATGTTACAACCAGAAGGAGTTCCATTCGCAAGAGAAGAGACTCGGTGCTTTTAGCTGATTTCATCACTTAGTGGTTTAGGAATTTACTGATGCATTGGCACCTATTGTGCTCGTATAATTACGTGTTAATAAAATAACCAGGAGAGTAGGATTAGGTGACACGTGTATGGACAGAAAGCATTAGTGGTTAGTAGTTAGTTGAGTATAAAGATGTATCGAATGCTTTTTCAGAGGTATCTTGAATAAAATCAGAGTTCTTTCTCTTCAATTTTTCCTTTTCCTTCTCTTCTTAAGGGTTCCACCCTTAACAGTCTATACATCTTTTTTTTTTTGTGTCTATATATATATATATATATATATATATATATATATATAAGATAAATTTACTTAATCGTTGATTTCCATATATCTAACTGTTGAAATTTATTGGATCTTACTTATTAATTAATTATTAATTTATAATAAATTATAATCGTTAGATACACGAAAATTAATAGTTAAGATTTGATGTAAAGCTTATTATTCTTATATAAAATGATCATATCCTTTATATATATATGGGAAAAATATTTTTCAAACTGTTTGAGATAAATTTATCTCCGGTTACCCTAAAACTACGTCGTTTTGATTATTTATTTCCTTATATGTATTGATTCACCTTTGAATGGTTATGATTCTCCTTTTCTCTCTCTTCCTTTATCACCATTGATCCATCTTTGTACGGTTATGATTTAGCAGCCGGAGATAACTTTATGTGCGGCAGCTTGAGAAATGATAAGCCCTATATAAATATATATATATATATATATAGAGGTAGGATCCTTTGACACCGGTGTCAAATTTGAAATTTGACACCTCATCTTAGAGTCGTTAGATAAAAAAAGATCAACGACTCTGATTTGTGAGCATGTGACACCATTGATCTTTTTTTATCTAACGGCTCTCATATGAGGTGTCAAATTTCAAATTTGACACCGGTGTCAAAGGATCCTACCTCATATATATATATATATATATATATATATATATATATATATATATATAGGGTTTGGTGTTTGTCATTTTAAATGACATAAGTTATGTCATTTTAAGAGAGAGATGAACACAACGAATGAAAATCATGTGAGAGAAAGTGAGTGATTTTTTTTAATTTAAATTTTAAATAAAAAATATTTTCTTGTGTCTATCTCTATCTTAAAATGACATAACTTTATGTCATTTAAAATGACAAACACTTTTCCCATATATATAGATATATATGGTTTCATATAATCTCATGTTGTAGACACACATGTGATAGATAGGGTCTGCCTTACAAAAAAAGAAAAAAACTGTCATGGTTTTCGATGGGTCTATTGGAGATGAAACTACTCTTATATTGCATAAGAGTAATTTTTTTCATATATATATATAGGGAAAGATTATAGTTACTACCTCATTTTCTTACTACTTTTTACTATTAAATCAATGGTTGATTTCTATCAATCTAACTGTTATAATTTATTGGGTCATGCTTATTAATTAATTATTAATTTCCAATAAATTATAAACGTTAGATTGACGCAATTCAACGGTTAAGATATAGTAGTAAGAGAGATATGAAGAATAAGATGCAGTAACTATAACATCTCTCTCACACACACGTATATATATATGTGTGTAATTGCTAATCATGAAGTACACATCGATGTTTTGACACATAAGCTTAATATTAAGGATTTGTTTGATTGTGTTTTAATTTTTTTTTAAATTGTTTATTAGAAAAGTTAAAAAAAAATATGTGTTTTCTATTTATTTATTTTTGTTTTGAAAGTTAAAAATCAAAACACAAAACAAAACAATTCAAATATATTTTCTAAATTTAATTCTAAAAACTAAAAAACAGGTATAGCTTTTTAGAACTAATTTTACAAAATAGGTTTTTATCAAATATCTTTTTATGTTATTATTCTGAATATAAATAAAAAACTATTTTTAACAACAAAAATCAAACAGACCGTAAGTTATTATTGGTATTCCATATAGAATCTTTGTTGGGCGATTAGTTTTTGCTACCGTTCTAAAACGTCTAGATCTTAACAAAGAAAGGAGGAGGAAATGACATCTTGTCACCAGAAATATCTAATATACTAATGTCGCAATATTTGTTTGATATTATCATCCAATAAAAATTTATAAATGACTGTGATATTTATACACATAAAAAAGAAAAATATTTTTTTATCCAAATATCAGTTGTTCAATAAAAGAGTTATCTACTGCAATTGCATCAAAAATGTTCTAGTTAATAGTTATCACCGGCTTTAGCGGTGAAATGGACCTTTATGGTAGATTAGGATTTGCTGTTTCTCCACAAGATTGAGAGCTAGTGTAGCAAAATACTTAACTTCTTTCTTCTTCTTTTTTTCTTTTTTTTTTTTTTTTTTTTTTTGAAATGAACAAAATACTTATCTTCAGCCGATTACGATCTAGTAATAATAGAAAGTGGGATTGACAGTCACCTCGTCGATAACCATTTTTTTCTGTCCAATCAATGAATATCATATCTAATTCACCATTAATGAATAAATGTCATTAATTTTTTTATATTAAAAGTGTTATTTTACATTACACATAGCATTACAACATTAAAATTATTTATATATATATATATATATATATATATATATATATATATAGGATTTGATATTTTTCATATTATAGGAGATAAAATTATTTTTAACATACACATAAAAATGTGAGGAGCCTGTGTAGGGCATCGTGAAGAGAAAAGAGAGAGAAAAAATGAGTTTCACATATTTTTATGTGTATATAAGAGATAAAATTATTTCTTACAACATGAGAGACATTAAATCCATATATATGAGATTAATGTCTCTCATGTTATTGGAGATAATTTTATCTCCTACACATATATAAAATGTGTGGAGCACATGTGGGGCCATATGAAGATAATAAAGAGAAAAAGAAAACATGAATCTTATATTTTTATGTGTATATAGGAGATATAATTATTTATTATAATATGAGAAATATTAATCCTTATATATATATAGGGGTATGATCCTTTGACACCGGTGTCAAATTTAAAGTTTGACACCTCATCTGAGAGCCGTTATATCAAAAAAGATCAATGGTATCACATGCTTCCAAATCAGAGTCGTTGATTTTTTTAATGTAACGGCTCTCAGATAAGGTGTCAAACTTTAAATTTGACACTGGTGTCAAACTTTAATTTTGACACTGGTATCAAAGGATCCTACCCCATACATATATATATATATATATATATATATATATATATATATATGAAAAAATATTTTTCAAGCTGTTTGATATAACATTATCTCCGGCTACTAAATCATAACCATAAAAAGATTGATCGATGGTGATAAAGGAAGAGAGAGAAAAAGGGAATCATAACCATTCAAAGGTGAATCAATTAATATAAGAAAATAAATAAACAAAGCGACGTAGTTTTGGGATGACCGGAGATATATTTAATATAAGTTTTCATGTTGAGACCCTTGAATTTGCATACGAAACTTCTTTTTTTCTTTCTATTTTTAATAAGTATAAATCCCACAACTAATTGAGTCACAACGGAAGAATTCAAATTCTTATAAAAAAATGAAAAAACCCTATATAATAACAACCATTGTATATACTATTTTTTTTGGTTTAAAGGTGGTCAAACTTTGGTCCATATTTCTTGATTACACGAAACAACAAAAGGCTAGTTGTTGAGTTGGGCACTTGAGGGTTTGGACTGGGACCCACACTTCTAATTTGATAATTGAAATGAATAAGAAAATCCATGCCACGCGTTCACAGCGCGTAGAAAGACAGATAGGTTGATGTCAGGAAGGACCCACCGAAGTTCTAAAGGCCGTTGATCTGAGCTCTTAGTCCGAATCGGACGGCATAAGTTTAGAGTCAAAGACCTACTTGATGGCTCTGTTTGACCAACGCATGCTCTTCTTCTTCTTCTTTTTTAATTATTATTAGAAAACAAAATAAAAAAATTCACAACTTTGACCGGGCTGTCACCCTCAATCGAGGTGAACTTCGTTGAAAGTCGTGGAGCACTCTGAAATTACCAAACATGCCATGGACCCACCACCATTTTTCTTTTTAAGTTTCAACTTTTTTTGGTGTGCTTTGAACTATGAAATGTCCAAGAGGTCCTTCGTCCTTGATAATATAGAAAACAAAGAACTACCCTTTACCTATGATCAATTGACCATATAGGGCAAAGTAGAATTTGAATTAAAGTTTGTTAAAAGGTATTTTACCAATAAGAATAGTTGGTTCATAAGGTCATTCTCTCTAAGAAACATGATAATAAATTTTTTTATTCTTGTATGTTTCTTATTTAGTTTAATTTAAATTACCATAATTATAAAAGAAATTAGCAATATCGACTAGTTATATATATATAGGGAAAAATATTTTTGCAGTTAATGCAGAGAAGTTATCTATATTTATTCCCAAAATGACGTCGTTTTAGTATTGAAATCTTAAAAAATTATAAATATAAAGACTGTTATAACCCTAAAATAAATTAAAATTACAAAAACACCATGATTTCCGTCCCAAAACGGCGTCGTATTGACTTACTGCAGATAACTTATCTGCAGTAACTGCAAAAAAAGCAAACTCATATATATATGGAATTTGATTTTCTCATGTTACATGATAATTGAATTCTCATATTGTGACTCAATTAATGGTGAGTCCTATATTTATTAAAAAGAGAAAAAAAAACTTTACACGTAAATCGAAAGATCACAATATGAGAACTCATTTCTCATGTTGTATGAGAATTCAATTGTCATGCAACATGAGAAAATATTTTTCTTATATATATATATATAATTTGTAAAATGATTTATCATATAATTATTACCGCAATGAAAATCCTTTCTTGAAATAGATATAGAAACATTATTATTTCAAAAAAAAAATCTATAAAGACAATTGTATCACAGATTAAAAATGCGTCACTTTATCTTCAACTAAGTTAAAAAATGTGAATTTTTGGATAAGAATGTTAGGATTGAAGTAATGAATGTTGTAGTAACAAAATTTTCAGTACGGCAATAAAAAACATATAATAAAAAGTAAAAACTATAGCAAAGTGTACCAAATCTTAAAGAATTGACGGTAAAAAAAAATGAACTCTTAAAAAATTGAATTAGTCAAAATTCAAAACCAAATTCAAAATACATTTATTTGTGGTTTAATACAAAGGGGGCATTCAAGGTAAACCCAAAAATAGAAGCCAAATTAAACAAAAAAACAAAAAAAGGGCAAAGTTGGGAAAGAGGAAAATGGATACGTTTTGTGTTTAATGAAAATATTACTTTAATCACATAAATTAAATGTGGGTTTTGGTTAAGTTTGACCACTGCTCAATGCTCATTGGGTTCCATTTTCTCTCTCATCATCCTTTTCTTTCTCTCTCTACAATTCTAAATAACTCTTCCCTACTTTTCTCTCTCTCCCTCTCTCTCTTTCTCTCTCTAAAATCTTCACTTCTCAGCTTTTTCTAATCTGCTTTCTTTGACTCAAAGGGGTTTTTGTGGACAAATCAAAACCACAAAAAGTTTCGATTTTTACCCATTTCACCGCCGCTGGATCGCTTCACTCTGAGTTGCATGAGCTGCCATCTCTTCCGCAGGTTCGTTCAATCTTCTTCCTTTGCTTTCGATTCGTGTAATTTTGAGCGTTTTCTGATGCAAATTTTCTTGGGAATTTGCTATGGGCTTGTTTTGCATTCTGATTCATTCGCCAGTTCGTTGTTCATTTTCTTGTTGATTTTATTTTTTATTTCATTTTATTTGGAAAATTGTTGGTTGGAACGAAGTTTTAAGGCATGGAAAATCCTTTTTCTTTTTCCTTTTTACCTTATTAATATTTGGAAACTAAATGGAATAAATGGGTTTTTGTAAAATCTCTTTGATGTTATGGATCTGAATTGCTTTTCATGTAGTTGAATATATGGAGATTCAGGGCTTTGTGTATGTGGAGTTAGTCTTTAGAAGTTCAGTAGTTCTCCTCATTTGTAAAAAAGCATGTAGCCCCCCTTTTTTTTTAAATAAATATATATTTGTTGTCGAAATTGGAAAGTGGGATGGGAAAATTGAAGTAATTTTATTATTCTTTTTTATGGAAATGTGATGTACACAAGTTGGAAATGAGGTTTATAAGGCAATCAGTTAATCAATTATTGATTAGTTGTATTGTTTTCCATTCAATTTACTGTGGCTGGTGCCTATGTGAACATGAAGTCTTAAGAACAATTGGGTGCAAGGAATGAAAAGGGAAATGAAAATAAGAAGAAAGGAAAGATTGTTTATGTTTTATTGTTTTAAGTTGTGCTCAGTGGAGAAGATATAATTCAGAAAAATTATAGATTAGACAGCTAATTTGGTCCTCCAAAGATTTTCAGATCGTCAATTTGGTTCTTGAATGATATATATATTACATCAAAATAGTCCAAAAATTTGTTGTTTACTGAAACCAAATTGATGTTGTGCAATGACCCAAAATCGTCATTCAAAGACTAAATTGTTGTTCTGAAAATCTTTTGAAGATCAAAATGGGCATTTACTCAAAATTAAACAACGAAACGACGATGCACCTATATTACTAGTTAGGCACATGGTGATCAGAATCACAGGAATCATGATTCGATTCGATTCCTCACTCCATTGATACAGATCACATGGAGGTTTGTTTTGTATTTGGAATCACATGTTGAATCGCTGGAATTGTGCCGGAATCATTGGAGTGTCAATCCCGTTGTGTTTCAACGGTACGTATGTCAGAGGGACAGGATCCAAGCAGAAACTATGGAGCAACGATCCAAGGCAGTGATGGGTGGGTGTGGCCGGAATCCCATTGGCACAGAGGTCTGCAAAATGGCTTCTGGGTTTTGTCGCAATTATCTAGTAATTAATGTTGATAGAGAGAAAATTATGCACCATTTTCCCTTGTTTTCTTGTTTTTCGTTTCAAACTTAACTCTAACAAGTGCCTACCTTATATTAATGAGAATCAAATCAAGGTGTCAAACTATGGTTTTGGGAAACACATATTAGCATTATTTCTTCTGGGTTGTCAAACTATGGCGTGTTTAACTACACTAACTTTGTTTGAGATATAATTTTTATTTATGCGGCTTTTTTGTTTTGTTTTTGCAGACATAAACATTTCTCTACAATAACCAAATTTTGTACAAAGGATGGGGTGTTTCACTGTATTGAAGAGCAAGAAGAAAAAGTCTGATCAGATCGTGCATGCAAAACGTGTAACCCATAACGAGCATATACCTACAGTACTGCCTGAACCTCAAATTCATACTCGCTCACTCCAATCTGCACCTCCTAGTTTTAGGACCAGAGTGAAACCCATTCAGCCCGTTAATAAAATCACTAATAATAGAGCACGAGCATTATCTGCTCCATCAACTCTTGATGCAGCAGAACAAGATGCTTTGGCCTCAATTGAGTATGAGGAACAAGAAGAGTCAAAACATCGAACTGGATCAATGAAGGAACAACGTTCATCTAGTCCACAACCTTTACCGCTTCCATCTCCCCAGGGCGGTGCTGCATTGAAGGCTGTTGGCAGCTTTAAGTTGGGGACATCTACTGGTCCTCTATATGCTTCTGGACCTTTGCCGCTTCCTCCTACTGGGTCACTCCGGAACTTTGTGTATGAGGAAATTGCTGCTGCTTGCCACAATTTCTCTTCAGATCGATGCATGTCAGAATGTCTTTCGTCCACCATATATAAAGCTTCCTTTGGTGATGATGCTTCAAGTTCAAAGAAATTTGAAGCTACTGTCACCCGCCTCCACCCATCATCTCAGGTACTTTTCTCCGTATTGCATTACTTTAATTTCAGTTGTTGATATCCTCATGTGCATAGAAATTGCTGACTGGTCTTCTTAATAGTGGACACTTACTAAATATACCGAAGCAATGACTTATTATCTTAGAATGGCTTGAGTTCAATGTTTTTATGTGTTTTATAATATATAAGATGTGTTATAGGTAAGCTTTATATTCTGTTATTTTGAATGAACCGATATATGCTTCAAAGGAATTACGGCAGGCATCAAAATGTTTTTCAAGTATTTCAACTGGTGCCATTCAACTTGCTATTTATCAGTGTCTAATGCCTGTTCTACTTCCTATCCTCCTTACTCTGTTATGTCTCCATTCGTATGAATATGTTGTCAAACCATTGCAAATTGAAGTGCTTAAAAGCTGTTATCGGTTGCATACTTGCTGATTGAAACATAATTATATGTTGTGATTTTTATGTTTTCTCTCATTAAAATATTCTAAATCACCTGAGAACTTTCTGAAGTGGTCTTAAAAGTTTCTGTCTTGTTTCAGGGTTTGAAGGAATTCATAAATGAGGTTAATACTCTTGCATCTTTACAGCATCCAAACCTCTGTAAATTGCTAGGATTCCATGCTCGTGATAATTCGGAACATAGAATGTTGGTTTATGAGAGGCTATATCACGGAAGCTTGGACCGCTTATTGTATGGGAGATCTGATGGACCATCAATTGATTGGAATACAAGAATGAAAATTGCTATATGTGCTGCACAAGGACTTACTTTTTTGCATGAAGAAGGGCCTTTTCAGGTAATTAGCATAAAATTATATTAAACTGAAGAAGCCTCGTGTTGTCATGTCTGCCCTTCCTTTTTGCATGGGGACTTTAGATCTCACCAAGTGAGTGGTGCTAAAGGACCTGAGTCGTTGTGTTTTTCATAATATGGTTGAACGATGTCATGATTAGATGCTTTGTTTCCACTGACCTTCCTTTAGTACATTAGAATTCAATTAAGTGTACATTTTAATGTTTGCTGATATACCTCTTTATATCTACAGGCAATGTATAATGAATTTTCAACAGCCAACATTCAGATTGACAAAGATTTCAGTGCAAAGCTTTCAGGATATGGTTGTGTGGGACATATTCCTGAGGAAGAGATTTCGAGCAGTTCATCTGTATGTTCTTCAACTTAAAAGTGTTTTGTGTTATTCTAATGTTTATTATATTCAGCTAATATCATCTACCTTATCTTCATATTTTACATGAATATTTATTCCATAATTTTTGTTCCCATTCATTATATTGAAGAATATATTATTGTCCAGGCTGTTGGAAACCTATCAGTGGAGACACTGGAGAAAGGAATGCTCACTCCAAAGAGCAACGTATGGAGCTTTGGAATTTTTCTTCTGGAGCTACTCACAGGAAGAAAGAATCTTGATAGCCGTCACCCCAAGGAAGAGAGGAACTTGGTGAAGTGGAGCAGGCCTTTCCTAGCTGATGAGTATCGTCTGTCATTGATAATGGATCCTCAACTCAAAGGTCGTTTTCCTTCTAAAGCAGCAAGAACAATAGCTGACATTGCACAAAGATGCCTTCAAAAGGAGCCATCAGAAAGACCAACAATGAGAACTGTTGTTAAGCATCTCAAAATGATACAGGATTTGAAGTACTCTTGCAGGTTCCCTCTGAAAGAACCAGCATCAATCTCTGGAAAACACATGTCAAGATCACCAAGTCTTAATGGTATCATATGTCCTGCACCTAGGTTGAGTTTCTCTCCATCACCACCATCAGCAGCCCCAGTATCTGTTTCTCCTCCAAGATGGTCTGGAGTGCCAATTGTCCTTCCGCCGCGTGCTTGTTCTTCAACTCTTTCTTTGGAGGAGCTTGATAGGCAAGAAAGCCGCAAGTCATCATCCTCAGCCTCTAGGAGGGCTAGTGTTGAAGGATGTTGATTGTCTATAATGTTCATTTTTTATTTATTATTTTTTTTTTTGGTGTGATTCAACACAAGTTTATAGGAGATAAAAGATGTGTGGTTCTTCCACCTTTTAATCCCTCAGTGTGATATGCCGAGAGGATGTTCTTTTGTAGATAGTGCAAAGGTTGGTCTAAATTTTCAATTAGTTACCCCATTTATATGAAAATCTATATGGTCTTTAACATTATGCTCCTTTCTCCTGTCTCTAATAAAGAAAATACACGGGACAAGAGAAATTAGCTTTGCCATGATGCTTAATCTATAATGTGATACAGAATGTGCAATTAAATTTGGTCCTGAGATCCTTTTGGTATGACAAAAATTTATCGGCAGAAGATTTTCAAATAAAATGTACGATATTGTCATGATTTTAACACCATTTCAATTAAGATAAAAAGTTAACTTATTAATTATTACGCTTTCTTAAAATGAATGTTATGTACCGTGTGGCAGAAGAAAATTGTTTTATTTTTTCTACTTAAATATACTAATCAAATAAATTATTTTAATCTATTCAAATGTTTATTAAGTAATTTATTAGGTTAGGGATAAATAAGAAGAAAAGAAAAGTCAATTTCAAATAAATTAGAAATAGAGGAATTACTTGTGTTTGTGAAATCAATGCATAAAGTAAAATGACTTTTTTCATTTATATAAAGAAATTATCATTCCCACGCATTAGCTATTAAACTAACAAATGATGTATTTTATATTGAAGGACTTAATTATTGAGAAAAATTGAAAATTGAATCAATATAACATAACTTTTAATTTAGAAGTTATATGCTTCATTTATTATGTAAGTATTCGCTCCATTGATAAGAAAGTTTAACTTTCCAATCCTTATTTATTTTTTTACAGTTAAAACTTCTACAAAATATAAGTATATTATAATACGAGAATATAAAATAATTTACTCTAAATTTGTGAGTAGTAATTATTACATGTGCTTTTAGTCTATAAAATACGTTCTGCAGTTTATAAGATTTCAAATTATCCATCCTTTATTTGACATGAAAACATTTTACAATTCGAAGAACAAATAGACTTATTAGATAGAGCTTTTATTTTATTTTGAGGTAAATGTTTTTCTTAAAAATATGATTATAAAAATTCGTTTAGTGATGACAGAGGATGTTTACTACCAGTTCAATCTTCTTTTAAATTTTAAAGAGGGAAAAAAAAGGAACCAAACCTGCTTTTGGAAGCATTTGCGCCAAAAACAGATGTATAGGGTAGGTGCGTAATACAATTATTATTATTATTAATATTTTGTCTATAGTTAGAAACTTAGAATAACAATTCAGGAATGTGACAATTAACTATTATTATGCACATCGCATATCATTCGGACTTTAGCCATTCCAAGTATTTTGAAATGACTTGTCACTTACTTAGACACCAAACCCTCTCTTTCCCTTACACCCAATAACATAAAGACAACAAACAATGGCTATTTAAACTAATCGCATATGATAAAGAAATAAAATAGTTGTATAATAGCAACCGACATAAATATATACAGAAAAGATGTATTATACAAAAAAAATTTGCAGATGCTTTCTTCCAACCCAAAACACAAAACTTCCCCGCATAAATAGCTTACTGACTTCGAGGGAAATTCAACATCCAAGTATTGCAGCATTTGCCAAAGCATCTAGTCCAGAAGATTCATGCTCCAGAATTGGCTCATGGCTTGCAGCCATTCTTTGTTTATTGAATTCTATACCAGAATAATGTCTGAAGTATCAATTATCTAGAATTTAGGAGTAAAATCTCGTCACTATGCATTTTTAATAGTCACCAATTCACCATCTTTGATCATGAAGCATAATTTGTGATTATAGATAATTTAACTAAAACAGGTTAAGGTACTAGACTACTAGGCCGGTGTAGAAAATAGAACCTTCATAGAATAAAATCATTACTATCCAGCAAAATTTTGTCATGTTTGACTGCTTTAGTAAAGCATGTTAATATAAAAATACTAACCTTCCTATCTATGTTTACCAAATTAGTACAAGTTCAAAAAGGAAACCTATTTGATAACCCTAATCAACTACTATCTCTTAGAAAACCTAAGTCCCGACAACACATAACAAACAAAAAAGCCTTTTCCCATTTGGTGGGGTTGGTTGCATGGATCAAACCACATCATTATGTTCCGTCAAAAACCAGGTCTTCATGCCATTTAGATCAAAGTCCTTTTAAAAGGTTCGGAAAATTCTAAAAACTCCAATCAAACAACTGTTACAAATTGCGTAATACAATTACGAAAACATCACAAATTCATATATTGGAAGGTGGTTAGCCTGGTTTCTTAATCAAGTAATAACTTGTCTGTTTTATACACCAGCTTCAAGACCAGAACAACAGCAACATTCAGATGTACTAATAATGTAAACTTAAGAGGATGAAACTATTTCCTACCCGAATCTCTTGATTGGCAGTAACTATAAAACACCATGTTATTTAAAGGAACTCAAGAAATGGATAAATACCCTTATTCATTTTCAGAAGATTATCCAGCTCCCTTGGGGTCAATTCATTAGGAGCAGAACATGAACACCTGATGACGGCATAGCAGAAGCTTAAAGATCTTACCAAGAACAAGATTTGTTAACAACTGCATGGCACTAAAGTCTTAAACTCACCTGCTCCGATCCCATAAATTCTCCACACATGTCCACTTAGAGGGAAGAAGTATATGGAGCGGTGATCATTTTGACATGCGTGGCCAAAATATTTATTAAACTGCCACGTCAACAGTAAATTTTTTCAGAATGTCACGCGGCATAATTCGCTACACTGTGCAGCGAATTATGCTTGCAAGCATAATTCGCTGCACAGTGTAGCGAATTATGCCACGTGACATTCTGGAAAAATTTACTATTGGCGTGGCAGTCTGGTAAATATTTTGGCCAAGCATGACAAAATAGTCATATCAACTGACAACTTTCTCCATTTTGAGCAATTATCACACTGTCCATTGCTCATTTATCCTGTGGTTCAATCAAAGTCCTAAGAAAAGTATATATAAGCTGCTCTGTTAGCACCACACGCAAGTTGGAGAAAAGTAAGAAGCTTAATACAAATATAAAAGAAGTAAAAACCTGACACTTGCAATAACTAGCACAAATACTAACACATGTTTATCTTTCCCATTTGAGCGGACTGCGAATATACTAGTCTTCCCAGAGACAGGAAGTTCCTGCATGAATAGTAATTACAAGTTGATGGAACCCAGCAATTTAACAGCAAAATGACAAGATGAAAGCTCAATTTGATATTAAAAGAAACCAGATACACATTAACAGAGACAAATGCAGTAAAAGATAAAGGAGATAAAGGAGGAAAAAAGCACAAGGCTTAAGGAAAATTATTTGCAGTCGGTATCTTACAGCAGCATATCAGCTAGGTATAATTAGTTACCATCTTCAGCAAGAAATTGCATAGATGATGATGGTTTGAAAAAAAAAAAAAAATCGAAGAAATATGATAATATCAAAATTTAGCCAATGCTACATAGTGTGGAAAATACATTAAGAAAGAAAACAAAAACAATTACATGTGGGGTATGTATTCTTAGAATTTGTAATTTATAAAACTAAGTAATCCTCGGCAAAATATACCAGTATCTCCAGCTTGCAATTGCATAGACTGAATGCATGGTGTTACACCTTCTAAAACATACATCCTGCTGTTATTATTGGGCCAAAACCTAATTTGAAACACCCATTTTTTGCCTTTCACATCTTGCATTCGTAAAGGAATGCCATCTGGTTGAGAAATAGGAGGAAAATATGCCTGCAAAATGCCTAACTCTTTCAGTTCTTACAAATTATAGAAAAATTCATACAAATAAAAATAAAAAATAAAACTTTGGGTAAGAATGGAATTATTGGTTAAGATAAAATGGCAATGACAGATGTAAATTCAACTGCTTAGTTACTCAAACTTACTTCAGCATATGCTTTTGGAAGAACCAAGTGACCAATTCGACCAGCATCACTTGCACTAAGGGAGCGTTTCGTTAGAGAGAAATTTTTTGAATACTAGGAAAATGTAATTGAAACGGAAATGGTTGGAAAGTGAGTTTGGTAGGAAAATGTATAAAAAGTTGTTTGGTAAGTAAAAATATTACCAGAAAAATTGGATTAAATTTTCTGAATATATGTTTGGTTGAAGAAAAAAGATTGATGAAAAAATGAATTAAAATGACTGAAATAACCTTGTAAAATATTTGAAAGTTGTTAATGCTGTTTGCATACATATATGAATTGTTGTTTGTAAAATGAATTGGAATGGTTTCAATCGAGAAAAAAGAACAGTGTTAAATTTTTCTGTCCCATTGGAGGAGACGTATGACTTAAAAAGAGAGTTGAAATCAGGGACAATTTTGTCAGCAAATTGTTCAACTTTTTTTTCCCAGGCAAAACCCAAAATACCATCATGAATATGGTTTTTTGGAACAATGCTTTCAATAAAATTTTGCACACAAAACAGGTTGGCTGGATAAACAAGTCTCCTACCTTATTGAGATATATAGTCCCACATTAATTGTGTGAGCAATTAATGTGGTCTTTATAAGGCCTTGGGCACTCTCACCCTTTGAGTTAGCTTTTGGGGTGGTGTATCCAAGGTTCTTTACATGGTATCAGAGCTTGAGTGACTACAAGGTCACAAGTTCGACCGTCACCGCCTCCCACTTTCAAGTGGAATTAAAATAAAAAAAAGCACAAAAAGGTAAACAAAAAATTGGGTCTGTGCAATTCCACGCTTCTAGCCCAAAGGGCTCTTGCGTGAGGAAGCGTGTTGAGATATATAGTTCCACATTGATTGTGTGAGCAACTAATGTGTTGAGATATATAGTTCCACATTGATTGTGTGAGCAACTAATGTGGCCTTTATAAGGCCTTGGACACTCTCACCTTTTGCGCTAGCTTTTGGGGTGATGTATCTCAAGCTTCTTTACATACCTAAATTTTGTGAATTCTTCTACCAAAAGTAGACAAGAACAAAACCCATTTTAAGTTGTCTAGACATCCCTCCCAAAAACCTCTACCAAACACTCCTAAGAATCTTCTCAAACAGTGGCGTAATTGTGGAATTTGAACTTGAACGTATCATGGATTATGGTTAAAAAAATATAAAAAAAAATTCTTCTTCCAAGGTAAAGAGTAATCGTGCAAAAAATAACATAAAATATCTTGCCAATAATTAAAAATTCAGAAAAATGATGGATACTCTCCATATATTTGCTGTAACTCTTGATAAGTAATCCTAGGCCAATAACGGGGAAGTAACTGATTCCTTCCCCGTCCTTCAGCAGCTGTCCTTGCAACATGAATCGGGGATGTCATGCATGCATTTGCCTCTAAGCCTGCAGCAAGAGTTGACTTAGGGCACTTGGGTAAAATATGGTGACACTTGGGCCCTGGCAAAATTGGAGATGTTTTACACTGTTGCCTCTAATTACTATTCCTTGTGCGGAGTGATTTGAGTATTAATTATAAGCCAATTTAGATACCTAACTCCAATGAAGCTCCGACACTTCAAAATTTCTGACTTATCGTGTCCGATACTTCCCGACACTCCAAAACTCGTTACAAAGACTAAAAAAAAGTTCAAAGATTACGTTGCGTTGCATTCTGAGTTCCAACTATTAAATTCGTTGAATTACGATTACTATTTTATTGAGTTTAAATCAAATATTTGAGATATTTTATGTTTCTTTACAAAATTGATGAGTATTATAATTTTAGCTTTACTTTTTTGTTAAATTATTGAATATTAAATATAATATACACTACATAAATTAAAAATATTATATAATATCAAAATGTGTCATAACATGTCGAAATTTAACATTTTTTAAAATTAACGTGTTAGAGTATCGTGTCATGTCGTATCCCATGTCAGTGTCGGTGCAACATAACCTAACTCTAATATATCTTTGAGTGCATATCATACATATATCACTACGATTCTCTAATACCGAACAAATTGGTTAGGGAGAGACATGCACCACAGTTTACTGACATTTTTTGCCTTTGATGTCCCTAATCCATTAGGCTTTTTCAGTAATTGAAATCTGTGAAACAATCATTGCCAATTCCTGGAACGTACAGTTACACATGAAATTGAAGCATGAGCTAAAAATAACATTAGATGCATATGCACTTCGTTTACGTAATAGCAATTTCGGTGATGGGGCATTATTTTTTAGGAAGTGTGACATTCCAATAATCTAATTTTAAAAAAATATTATAACAATATTTTTTTTTGGTAATCTAAGGGAGTTAACAACAACACTCCAAAGAGATCAATTCAATAAAATTATTCTGAAATTACAAGACAAAGACAAATCAACCAAATACAAAGGTCAAATATCAGAGGGAGGGTTTGAAAAAATACAAAAAATATTCTCAACATGATAGTCTAAAGGATATTTAGAAAGCCAATTTGCACAACTATTTTCTTCTCTAAAAACATGAACCAGGTGAACTTCCAATTCTTTTGTAACCATGCTCGAATTCGAGTCACTAAGTGAGACTCTCGAGCTGCTCTTCCACTGCTGGAGAGCAAAATGATAACTGAGCTTGAATCACTTTTTAGGATGCAGCGTCTGCAATCTCTAGCCCAAGCAAATTCAAGACCCTTGAGGACGCCTCATAATTCTGCAACAAAAGCTGAACAATGGCAAATATAGTAAGCAAACCCTTCTATCCAATACTCATTTTCATCTCTTATAATTCCTCCACAGGCAGCACCCCTGCCTGCCAACACTCTTGGATGCACCATCTGTGTTTAATTTCTCCCAACCTGTGTCCGGAGGTAACCATCTAATAGGAACAAAAATGTAATTCTTGGCCAGCTTTGTCCCCTTAGAAGTTATCCAGGCTTGAGTATACTCACGAATAGACTCCCTACGGACTGCACCTTGTATGCTTTCCCGTTATTTTCCACACCATGCACCTGATTGTTTCTCCACTGCCAAGCTAACCAAACAGTAACATCAAAAAACAATGACCAGGGGGCATCAAAGCACAAAATAGATACATTTTGAATATTCAAGGAAAGCCAAGAATCTAAATCAGTATCAAAGAAATCATTTATCAAATTTGGCCTTAAAAGATCAGACCAAACTTTTTTAATCTTTGGACAGTCACGTGCCATATGAATAATGTATTCCTCATGAAATTTACAAATATGACAACTAGGAGGACACAATCTAAAGTTTGCCAGGAAGCTCCTAGTTGATAGGCGATGATGAGCAGTCTTCCAAAGGAACAAACTTATCGGATTGGGCCCTTTTAAATTTCCAAATGGCTGACCAGAATTTTCTATCAATACCATTAGAACTATTTTGATTTAGCAATATAAAATAAATATTTTTCACAGAAATTTCATCTGATCCAACTAAATTCCACCATTTTCTGTCCCTACCATTAGATTCATGAGGAGGCAGCATGCTTCTAATAATTTGAACACAATCATCAGGAAGAAAATTAGATATAATCTCACAATCCCAAGTTTCATCATGAGTAACATAATCAATTACTCTCTTACCAGCCTCTGTTGGGGAAACTTGAGTAATAGCTCTGTTTGCAAGTTTTTTTCCCAATGTTCACCCAATGGTCCTCCCAAAAAAGAACAGAAGATCCATCACCCACATCCCAGACCAGCTTGGGTTTAAGCTTATTCCAAACATCACACATAAATTTCCAAAGACGGGAATTTCCATTCTTCCAAGTTAAATCAGTTTGAGTATTGGATGAATTTGTGTACTTAGCTTTTAATACCTTCACCCAAAGCTGATCAGTATCATTAACAAAATTCAAAACTAGTTTTCCCAAGAAAGCTTCATTCATGACTTGTAATTTTCTCAACCCCAACCCTCCATCTGCTTTTGGTCTTGTAATTGTGTCCCAACCAATAAGATGCATATGTTTCTTCCTTTATGTATCACCCCATATAAAGGCTCCTTGAAGCTGTTCCAATTCATTACAGACAGCTTTAGGAATCATATTGCTTTACATGAAGTAATACGACATAGTAGATAACACAGATTGAGACAGAATCACTCTGCTCGTCTGAGAGAGAGACTCGGATTGCCAGCTAGATGAAGTGTGACATTCCGATAATATTATTTTTTAGGAAGTGTGATAATTTAAAAATATTTAAATTATCACACTTCTATGTCAATTTCTTAATATTATGACAAAATTAAATATTTTGGATAAATTTTGTTAGAAATTAAATTAAATTTTGTTGTATAAAGAAAAAAATGAATGTAACTTACAAAGTAAAAATATAATTTTAAAAAAATAAAAAAATAAACGGTTTTGTCCTTTGGTTTAAAAGGAAAAGTGCTTCTACAAACAAGAAAACTTTTTTATAGAATGATGAGTGAACGAAGAGTGCAAATACAGAGGAAAAAAAATGCTGAATTATAGCAATTAATTAAAAATTAATAATAAGAATGGAATAAAATATATGCACATAAAGACAAGGATTTTTTTAAATTTTTTTTACTGATTTATCCATAAGTTAATTTGAGTACGGTTGAATGTTTACTACGTCTAAGAAATGATGCAATGTGGTACAATCAATCTCTCATATTCAGTAAAATTAATTTATATTAATTAGATAAAAAGATTTTTTTATTAGTTTTCTGTCTTTTTATTGTGCCAAAAAAACAATTGCAGCACGACACCTGTTTTTTCCTTTTTTTTCAAATGCACAAAAGTTTCACTGATTTTAAACATTAATTATTGCTTTTTATTACTCATGTAAATAGGCTGGTCGGGCTAGGTATTGACTTAAATAAATTAAATATGTGTAAAATAGTTTAAATCTAGCTTGGGTTGTTAAATTGATGTAGATCAAAATTATAAATCTGGTCTATTCTATATTTAAAAAATTTAAAAATAAAAATTTTGATCTAGGTCTATTAGTGTGTTTTAGCCTGTTAGTCATTTAATAATTAAAATAATATTATTTTATTATTCAAAATTATTAAAATAATAATTTTTTATTTTATTTAAAATGAATAATATAATATTTGTAAACTTATAAGTTGCGTTTATAAAAAGCTTAAGACATATTTTTTAAATAATTTCTTTTTTGGAGTAGATATAATAAGTTGAGCCATAGGCTCTTGTTAGGCTGATTAACCCATTTATATCTCTACTTTTGTTTGTAAAAAAAAAAACTTGAAAAAGAAAATTCTTGGACGTAATATTCTTAAAAATATTATCAAAATAAGCAACTTGTACAATAATTTGTACAAAGATGAATGGTCCAAATTTCTGCCTCATATAAAAAAGAAATTATTATCAAATTATTCTATTTACCGTTTTATATGTAAAAATTATAAAACATATAAATTTATCTTTTTTTTTTTGAAATACCTGAATTGAACCAAAGTCGCTAGAAGGTGAAGAAGAAGAAGCTCTCCTTATCTTTATGTAAGAAAAGAAGCATTTTCCACTTCCCAACGACAACAATGGTGGCGGGAACTGCAACCTTGAAGCTGAACCTCTCAGTTTTTTCTTCTTCAATGCTGAGTTTCAGCGCCTCCTCCTCTTCATTCCCATCAAACCCTTCTCTTCTTTCAATGCGAACCCCTTCTTCTTCTTCTACTACAACTCGATTTCTCAGTGAGTCTCTTCCTTCATTTCCACTTCCAATTATCCGTTCTTCTTGCACAAGTTTGTAACTTTTGTGTTTCTTTCAGGGATTTACGCCTTGACTAGCAACGACATCAAGGTGGGTATCAGCATCAAAGTCGATGGTTCTCCTTGGCGTGTCTTAGGTATGTTTTTTTTTACTGTGTCTAAGGTCTAAGATTACAATTTCAGCTTATGAATAACTCAAGTTGCTTCCTTTAGAGTTTCTTCATGTCAAACCCGGAAAAGGGGCAGCATTTGTGAGGACCAAAATGAAGAATTATATTACAGGGAACACAGTTGAGAAAACGTTTAGAGCTGGAAGCTCGGTAATGCATCCTAAACTGCAAGCCCTTTTGTTTATTCACTGCATTTCCTGGATTACTAGATTCATTGTATAAGTAGAGTAAACCTTCAGCTTTACTTTGCTTGCAAATTTCAAGTTTTCTGTCTCTAAAGTCTACTTGCATGACTAATTCACTTTGTTAGTTACCTTTTTCAAGATTACTGAGGATAATTGGGGGTATCAATTACATAGCAAGCTTTAGTGATATAGGAGTATATTCTCATTCATTAAGGTTAGGCTTGGTAGAGGCACGGTTTGCCCCATGTTCCCAAATTAGCTTCTTACCGCCTCTGCGGCTCATATTAACTCTGCAGATCTTGTGACTAAATTCTGAATCTGTATAGATGAAAGTATTTAAATCCGTGTTCTAATTCCATAATCAATCATATTCTTAAAAATTTGACGGTCATCTCTTATAATTGATATACATATGATTGAATACATTCACAATCTCTATTTAAAGTTGAGCCAAATGAATGAAGACATCTTTAAAGCTAATAACATGGATAACTAGTGGTAAAATTAATTTATTTTTCATTTACCTGGTGTGGGGCAGATAGAATCTAAACCCATACACAATCTGTCCTGCACTGGCAAACAACCCTAACCCGTCCCAAGTATCCTAGGGCGAAACAGACACAATTTGCCAAGCCTAATTGAGCTCTTTGCTAAGGGTGGACATGGTTTGACCCGGGTCAATTTTTTTGTTGAATCGAATTGAACTGTTTTAATTTTCTGAATTTTTGTTATTTTTTCCGAACAGGTTCATAACCTGTTTTGGTATGCAAACCGTGAACCGGTTTCGAACCTGTTCTGAACAGGTTTTCCAAATAAGATCTTTTGGTTTAGTTCAATTTTTAAACTGGTTTATAAAACCATTTGGTTCTCAAAACTGGTTCAGACAAATACAGTTCAGTTCGGTTAATTTGCACAGCTCAGTCTCTCTGCTGATGAGTGGATCAATCCACCATTATTATATAAGTACTGTGCAACTTGGTCTGAAGGGTTTCTGCTGTTTGTCTTATAAAATATGCGTACAAGAATGGCTGATGGTTCTCTCCATGCCCCTGGGTTTATTGGGCTGTATCCTTTATGTCATCCCACCGGGTTCAGACAAATATATTTATTCTGGGGTTTCCTTGTGAATCGCTAAGGCAATCAACTCGTGTCTAAGAGGTGTGAGTAGCAAAAGAGTCTACAATAATGGTATGACATGTGAAGCATTATAACTTATAAGAGTCCTGTCTCTCTAATTATATGTTGCTTCTAATTTCTGATCGAGGCTTACATTGTCTGGGTTTTTTTGTTTCCATTTTATCTGTTCTTTTCCTTTTGACAGATTGAGGAAGCAGATATAGTCAAGGAAACAAAGCAGTTCACATATAAAGATGGTGTTCAATTTGTCTTCATGGACTTGGTATTATCTGGAATCCATAACTATATAATCTAACTAATTATGGATATAATAATTTTTTTTTGGCGCTAGACATAATGTATGCCCACTAGTCCATCACTATAATGAAGAGTTATCCTTATTAGGTTTATATTCTCTTTTCCAATAACACTTTTCCTTTTAGTACTAGTAATTAGATAAATAAGAATTATGTACTGAGTTTTGTCGTAGCCTCTATGTTTAACTTGTGGTGTTTTAATTTTATCAGAATACTTATGAGGAGTTTCGAGTGGGTGAATCAGACGTTGGAGACAGAACAAAGTGGCTGAAAGAGGGAATGGACTGCAATTTACTGTTATGGAATGGAAAAGTAACCTTGTCAATCTCTCATAATTTATTACTGTTTTTTCACTATCTCAAACTTTTATTTTTGTAGACAAGTAATGATAAATCTCGTGAACTATGTTCTAGGACAAGAAGCGGCCTCAGGTTCTTGAAAATTCAAATTGATATAATTTTGATATTCATAAATAAGGGGGAAATAATTAATTGCAATATAATTTGTCCCAAGGAAGGAAGGAATGTGTTGATGCATAGTTGCTAATGTATAAAACTACTGTTTTGCAGATTCCATAGTTTTTATTTCATTTAGATGTCTTTAAATTTATGGGAAATATTTTTCTTATGTTACATGAGAAACCTTATCTTATGTTATACACCCATCGAAATCCGAGCCAGTATTTTTTTTTCTTTTTTTCTTTTTTTAATTGTGGGACCCACCCAATTATGTCTCTACATAAGACAATACTATCTCATGTAACATGAGAAAAACATTGCTCTAAATTTATATGGTTGTATCTCCTCTAATGGTACTATCACTTTTATACAAAGACTGCATGCTTTTCTGAAATTCTTAATGATCTGCTATGGTAAATACATGTTGTTGGCTCATATATTTTGATAAAATATACACCTTTTAAGTTTTTCTTTTTCCCAAATGGTGTTTTATCTAGACTGCTGTTGAATAGGTTAATTGGTTACTCCAAACATTGATCTTTTCCAAGGTGTGTTCTTGTAATAGTTAATGGTTTCAAGTGTGCTTGCATAGTGAATGGGATTCTTGCTTATGCATAGATTGGTAGGCACAAGGCTTCTTTAAATTGAGTTTGTCTCTAAAATGAGTAAGGGTGTATCTATCCTTAATTTAATTTTAAGTGCATCGCGATCTTAATGCCCTAAAATGTATTCTTGCTCACTTTAGACACAAACTCATTGAAGAGGTGCTTTTTCCGATTGGCAGTATGGTATTATAAAGTATAACATTGGACAGTTACAGCTATTGATCTTGTTTAGCAATTTTTCTCTTGATATTTTCAGGTTATTGATATTGATCTCCCTGTCACAGTCAAGCTTAAAGTAGTTGATGTGGATCCCGGACTTAAGGGCGACACGACCCAAGGTGATGCCATTTTGTTTATACTGCGAATCTCTATTTGACCAAACTGCCAACCATATATGGAGCCCAGAAAGTTCACTATTACACTAAAATGATCAAATCATGTGCTAGATGATGATTCCCATTATGATCTTTCTAGATCTTTTGAGGGATGATGAAATCGTGACTAGGATTTCCCTTCTTGCCTATTTATCCTATTATGGTTTTTACTCTTTGGTCTCCTACTTTATACTGTCATTTTTTTTTCTTTCATTCCCTTGTTTAACTTATTGAGCCTCTGAAGATGAAATTTGATTGACAGGTGGATCAAAGCCAGCAACACTTGACACTGGGGCTGTTGTCAATGTTCCGCTCTTTGTAAATGTAGGAGACGAAATAAATGTTGATACAAGAACTGGGCAGTACATGAGTCGGGCTTAAAATTCCACCTCAAAGTTTTGTAGTTGAAATCCAAAGAATTGTTATTTCTTTTGGGTTTTTTTTTTTTTTTTTTTCAATTTTGAGAAAATCTTACCAATGCAGATGGATTAAGTTCATAACATGCCAGCTTATGTAATATTAACCTTAGCAAATTGGCTATGTGCATAATAACATCGAGTTAAAATCGTGCTGTATTTTATTTGCAAAACTGAAGCTCTTGCAGTATTGTTCTTCAGCATGATCTTAGTACATAAAATTTTGGTCTCATCAGAAGGCCAGCGATTATGTAACCCTTTTCATTTTTAAGTAAAAAGTGGAATTTAGCCTTTGTTCCTGTGTTCCTCGGGATGAAGAGAAGGAAAGAATTAACCAATACAATTTGTGCATGGTAGTCAACCAAAAAACCAAATCAATGCACCTTAACATAACATTGAACACAACTTGGTCTTGGCCTCTAAGATAAAATTCCTAGCTTCTCATCTGAATACTCCAATCATAGCTTGCTCCTTTCTTCCCGTTCCCAAACCTTATTACCATTTACACGAAATTCTTCATTCACTTAGTGGTATATTATAATTGAATTTCAATGTCAGAATCTCTAATCTGGCTTGTGCTGACTAACTCCCCTTGGTTAGCTTACAGTTCCTCCCTCTTCATAACATTTACACAGCAGAGGTTCCCTTCTGGGAAGAAGACCTTGCTTCAGTGCAGCACCAAACATCTTGGAAGCACAAGATAATCTCCCTTGTGCATTGAGTTCTTTGATTAACACGTCATAATAAATTCTATTGGGAATTCCTCCATTTGCACTCAAAAGGAGCAAAGTTGACACTGCCTCATCCACTCTTCCCGTAGCACAAAGGCCTTGAATCACTTCAGCAAAGGTAATTGGTTCAGGAGAATAGCCCAATCTAACCATATAATTCAAATTTGCCAAAGCCTCCTCAAACTTCTTTCCCACACACAGTGCCTGGACCATCACCTCAAGTGTCCTATGGTCAACCACTGAATCCCTCTCTTTCATTTTCTCAAACACTTCAACTGCATCTTGAAGCAGACCTCTTTCCTTCCATGACCTTTTACACAAACGTCTCACCAGAGTCCCCATCATCCTCACCTCCACTTCAAACCCAAGTCTCACCATTTCCTTGTAAATCCAAAGGGCTGCTAGAACCTCATTCCATTTTAACAACCCATGTAACACAGTGTTGTAAGTAATACAATCAGGAACACACTCATGCTTCTTCATCAGGTTCAAAACAGCAACACCCTCCATTGATCTCCCCTCCCTAGAATATCCTTGAATCAAAGTGTTGAAGGTGACCACATTGGGTATCAATCCCATTCCAACAGCTTCATTGAGCAACTCCATTGCTTCATCTGAACGACCCACTTTACATAACCCATCCATTACAGCATTATAAGAATAAACATCAGGCTCCAACAAGGTTTCCTTCATACCCATCAACATCTCCAATGCTTCTTCCACCTTCCCCACATAACACAACCCCTTCATCAAGCAGTTTTGTGCTTTAACACTGGGCTTGCAACCCATTGTGCCCATGAGCTCAAAAACCTCCAAAGCCTTCTTCACTCTCCCCCTTTTGCAAAGGGAATTTATGAGAACAGTGATGGTTGCATCATTTGGTAGAAACCCTTTTTCCAGGATTGTGTCCAAAGCTCTTTTAGCTTCATCCATATCATTTTTCTCACAGTAGCACCTTATCATGATGGAGTAGGTGCAACAATCTGGCACAAGTTGAAAAGATGGTAACTTTTTGAAGATCCTGAGACAAACATCAGGCTCTTGTGCAATGACTAGAGCCATGAGAAGGTGATTGAAATCTGATATAGTTTGAAATTCAGCATCTTTCTCTAGGTTTTGTAGCATCTCAGTTTTTCTGTTGGAAGAGGATAATGCTTTAATCCTGTTGACAAGACCTTTGACTCGAAATCTAGTGGTTTTATCCTTAAAATTCAGGTCATTTGTTGTCTTTTTTATGGATACTTGTTCATCTGAAGGGTTAATAGAAGAGAAAGAGAGTGTCCTTAGACCAGTTAGCTTACTAGGTCGGATATTAATGTTATTATCATTGTTGCTTTTGGTGGCAAAGTTGGTGAAAAGAGAGGTATTTAGTGAACAAGGTTGAAAAACTTGGTAGCATGTGGGAATGGTAGAAGCCATGATTATGAGCTCTGGTCTCTGAAAGATGAAGAGTTTCTTCTTGTCTGTGTCTTAAGGTGGATTTGGCATTTCATTTGCTGATATACACACTGGATTGCAATAATGCCAATCAATGATGGGAAATGACGTCGTTTCATATTTGTCACTAAACTTATTTTCACGACGTAACAATATTAATTTGGTTTATTTTGGAAAATACAAATCCGAGAATAATATTTCTCGTATAGTATTATCTCTTATACATATATAAAAATATGTGAATTTATGTTTTTTTTTTCTCTTTTCTCATCACATGATCTCATATATATGAGTCTCACATATTTTTATGTGTGTATTATTTTCTATAAACTATGAAAAATATTAATCTCTACAAATATTACAAGAAAGTAATATTTTTTTAATGTGTAAGGCAATATTACGAACATGAGTCAACTAACCACCAAGTAAATTAATTTGAAGGGGTTGTTTTAGTTTAATTAGTGATCTTGAATCTATGCAGATGTGATAAAAATTTGTTAAAGAGAATTTTGTTGTCCTATCCGCTCGACTAAATTAATTAATTAATCTATGAATAAGTAAAAAAATCTCGAAAAAATAAACAAATAATTTATGGATGAGTTTGCATAAAAATTAATGTTCGGGCACTTGAGCAGGGGAAGATGATTTTAATGACTATCTTAAAATTTCAAATTATAAAATGAAAATACTTTAAAATGCAAAGGTATATTATACCTTGTGTTAAAATTTGAGAGCAATAAGAGTCAAACTCTCTTCTTCTTCTTTTGGTAGGCTAAGAGTCAAACTCTTAACCGTCAATAATCAATTATCTTAAAGTTTAATGTATTAAGTGAGTGTACATTAAAAATTGTATTTCTCTCGAAAGAAAATTATAAGCATAAATAAGTTTTATAGACTTGGTGGGCCTAATTGAAATGTAAGTTCCTCGGCAACATGTTTATTTTGCTGATGAGCTCTTCTTTCATATTCATATTAATTATAACCAGTGATAAACCGCACGTTCAGCACGTGCCTCAAACATTTCATATAAAATAAATATGAATAGTGCCTTCCTACTACAAACATCACTAAAAATGATGTTATATGTGCAAAAATCATGACTCAAAATATAATTAGCACAAGTGTCCAAATTTATTTACCTATATATTTGAAAAAGACTCTTAATCACGATTTGCATAAGTTGTCTTCGTGCATTTTCATTGTGCTATGAGGACTTTACACATAGTATAATAGAGATTCCAATATCATATAAAACTTTTAAAAATTTAGTAACAAAAAAATATATTATAATAACGTGATACATAATAGATAGATAATACATAATGGGAAAAACTTGGACATTGATCAGAACCGTAGTGAATTGCTGAAGGCCTTGCAAAACAGTAGGTCCTTAGCATCATCTGGGACATTATTTTTTCTTCCTCTTCTCTTCTTGCCAAGAATAGGTTTAAGCAATTTCTTTAACAACTTGTGAAATCCTGATCCATGACCACGATGAGGATGTCCATGCATCACATGAGTCACCATTGGTATTGGAGCCATGTTAAAGAGTCGTGACTGGGACCTTGGTAACCCTGGTTCTGAAAGGCTTCGCCCCAGCATGGCTCTATTCAGCTGTGCCATATGTGCCTCAAAGGACATCCTCTCAAACTCATCCAATAGAGTGCTCTCTTTGTCTCCAAATCTTGTTTGAATCACTGACATTTCCACCACTGGTTATTGTTTTACACAAGTTGTTGTCACAATATCATTTTCACTATCTTTATATAGTTGAGGTTTGAGGAATGTAACATTGGAGGCTTAAAGGGTTCAATTTTTACTCATATATAGTACCACTTTCTCTATCCTTTTGTTAACTTTAAGATTCGGGGAGGAGTCCTTATCTAAACAAAGTATCAGGTTCATCATTTTTCTGTCATATTTCGAAAACAATATTTTCAGTGAGGTTATAATTCATGTTTGGTATTTGATTTTAATTTATCTTGTTCTAGTGTAATTACTAATTAGGCATCTAGATTAAAAATTTTAAACTTTATTTATTTACTTTTGGCCCACTGCTTATTGCGAAATTTAAATTGCGTAGACAAAGTTAGTGGGATATGTTCAGGATTAATACAATTGTGATCCGGAAGCTACAATATGCAACACTTTATTCTTTCTTGCTTGAAGGAACTTATGTTTCGTCCTGCATGTTTCTTTTTAGGAAGCTTATGTGCCATATAAGTTTCATAAAAGAACATGAATAATGATTTGATTCCGATATTCCATTTAAGGTTTATTTTCTCCCTTCTATCGTAAAAAAGTAAAATGGCCTCTCGAGCTTTGTTTAAGTGGTAGCTCTAGTCCCTATCGAAGAGCTGGGATCATTATTGTCAAAAATTAACTTAAAAACGGTAGAAACGCATAGGGGTGAAAGTGGACTCGTCTGGCCCAAATTTTGCCCCGAAAAGTTCAAGTCTACACAAAAAAAATTCAATTTGACCTGACCCAAGCCTAGTATGAGTTTAATTGTTAGCCTGACTTGGCCCGTTTATAAAAAAACAAATAGTCTGGCCTAACCCGTTAGCCTGTTAACTTTTAACTTCCAAGCATAATCATGAATCAACTTTACAAAATACTCAAATTCTGTTGCTAAACCAAAACTTATAATTTCAATATCCAAACAGAATCATGAATCACAACAAAACTCATACAATTTGCATTTAAGTCACTTTCAAAAGCAAAATGTTAAAACTAAATAACATATATTTTATCAGATTCAACAAATAAATCCATACTATGTAAATTAAAATAACTACATGAATCCAACAAACACACCATGATGCTTGTAGTAAGTATAACCTCTCCCAAAAATCTTTTAATATATTCATATACACAATCTAATATGCTGAGATGTTGATTTCTCCTACATAAGAAATAAAGTTAGATTTCTATTAAAATATAATCGAATATAATTAAGTTATAAATAATTGCAATTGATTAAATTTATATCTCTTATTTTTTCTTAAAGGTATACTTATTCTATTTTATTTTATTTAAAATAAATAATACAATATAAGCCGGCATGTAGGCTTATAGGCCAGGCCTTATGAAAGTTGGCCTACGGCTTTTTTATTACACAAGCTTTTTCAAGGCTCTAGCCCGGCCTATTTTACGAAATATATTAGATCAGGTTTGGCCTGTCGTAGGCCGAGCTGTAGGCCCCTGTAGGCCGACCCGACCTAGTTTCACCCCTAAACGCAGTTTAAAGCGTGTCAAAACACAAGTAAAAACGGATAGAAACGCCGCGTAGAAACGTAAAAATGATAAAAATGTAAGTTTTTGTGTTTTTACTTAAACTCAATATTTTTCAATATTTTTTTTAAACTCAATTTTCTCTTTTTGTATTTTTAGACTTATGTCTTATATAATTATGTGACTTATATCTTTTAAATATGAAGTTATTATATAATTATGTGACTTATATCTTTTAAATATGAAGTTATTCATTAAATTTTGAGTGGTGACTTATGTGATATATATATATATATATATATATATATATATATATATATATATATATATATATATATATATATATAAGATTTGCTTTTTCTGCAGTTACTGCAGATAAGTTATTTGAAATAAGCCCAATACGACGACGTCATTTTGGGACGAAAATCATTGTGTTTTTGTAATTTTAATTTATTTCAGGGTTATTATAGTCTTTATAATTATAATTTTTTAATATTTTAATCCCAAAACGATGTCGTTTTGAGAGTAAATGCAGATAATTTATCTGCAGTAAGTGCAGAAATATTTTTCTGATATATATAAAATTTTGTATCTTGACCTTAAGTAGTAGAAACTTTACGTTTCGCGTTATTTTTACGATTTATGTTTCTACCATCCACTTTTGTGTCTTAATTATGTTATTAAATTCATATACTATTTTTCTGAAGCTTAACAATGTCTTCCTGCTCGCCTAAACCAACCCTCAAATAACAATTAAACAACAAAATGGCCCAACCAAAAGTTCATACAGAAACCAAACTTAACTGAGACGAATTATAACATCAAACAAAAAGGAATCCGAGGCATAACTAATTTAAAACATCTTAAAATCATATTCTAAAAAATGAAATATTAAAACCATCAAGCACATAAATTGATTGGGTAATTTATTATATATATATATATATATATATATATATATATATATACACCTGCCCTGGAGAGGTTATATTTACAACCCAAAAAACTTTCAAACTCTGACAACCTTTTAACTATCGTTAGATTAATCTTTTCATCAATGGTTCAAAATACTCCAATATAATACTCCAACCACGTTCTATCTCACGTCTATGCAGGTCTACGAGTCTCTTCCTCTCCTCTCCCTCTCCCTTGAAAAACAAAAAGAACGTTGAAATCCGGTAAAAGATTTACTGTAGGGCAACAGTTCCAGGGCGGTATCGATGAGGCTTCTTAACTCCACCGGTTGTTGGAGCAGATTTTCTTGCAGCCTGGAAAGTACAATGTTAATCGATATAAAAAAAATAAAACAAAAGAAAAAAGCACAGACAAATTTTAGGTGTTTTACACAAAGTACGACCGGTCATACTTTGTGTAAAATTAAAAAGTTTTTTTTTTTTCTCTCTCCAGTCACATCGCTGACGTGTAAAGTGAAAAAAAATAACTTTTCAGAATTACACATAGTACGACTGGTCGTACTCTGTGTAAATCACTAAAAACACAACTTGTATCATTTTGAATGACACACACTAAACCCTTGTTTTATAATGGAAAAACAGAAAAAGGACGTTGCATTTCGATAGGCAATATATCAAGGAAAGTAACATGGACGAAGAAGAATCTTCCATCTATTTCGAAGGATTTTTTCTACGGAAAATGAAGGATGCAATGCTGACAAGAAGAAATGCAGCCTATTATGTTCTCGAGAGGCAAATATTTGTGAGTAAAGCCTTCTAATTTGCCCGATATAGAGATCGTTGACAAGAAATTAGTTTAGTAGGTCTTGTCAAGGAAAAAACTTTCGATGCTACTGCTGCACCGTACATCACTTATAAAATAAGAAAAAAATTGGATTTGCAAGGAATTATGAGAAAAGACTTGGATTCAAATGGTATTAAATTTTTCCTATTTAGGAAAATGTTGTACCCAAAGTAGTACAGAAGAAAATTCCCTTGCCAAGAGTAGCAATGGCTAGTAGCAGATTGATGGCAAAGGGTATTGTTGTCATAAAATTATTAAATATGTTTAATTGATTTAATGTTAAAGTATAAGAGGGTTTGTTGACTCAATTCAAAGTATAAGGTGGTTTTTTGAAAACACATATAAGTTTGAGGTGGTTCTGTATGATTTAGCCTATCCAAAATAAATTAAGGGATATTATTCGTTTACAAATTGTTTTTGCAAATTACACTAAGTACAATCGGTCGTACACTACATGATTAAAGTATGACCGGTCGTACTTAGTGTAGTTTGTAAACAAAAAGTTTGTAAATATAACATGCCCCTATATATATATAATCATTTCTAAAGTTGTTGTACGTGCAGCAATGACAGATGTATGGTTATGATTTTCCACATTTAATGCGTTCACATTTTGTATAGTTATGATTCCCTACATTAAATGCTTTAATCTATATATATGGAAACTAATAGTAATATAAAATGGGTTTTTCATTTTTTCTGCAGCCACTTTACATGTAGTAGTGACAAATTTTTCCTATATATAAGTTAAAACATTTAATGTAGGAAATAATAACCATACAAAAGATGAAAGCATTAAATGTGAGGAATCATAACCTTACCCCTGTTATTGTTGTACGTACAACAACTTTAGATATGATTTTACCATATAAAATATATATAGATATTACATATCCTCAATTTATTCTTTCATGAGTTATTAAAAAATTAAGTTTTTTTTTGGAGACTAAAAAAATTAAGTTGATCCAAATTATGATCTAATAAATTATATAGTTTTAATTTTACCCAAAAAAAAAAATAGTTGTAAATGATTCTTCAAATTAATGTAGTGTTTTATTAGCCTCCTCTTACAGGAAAAGAGATATCTCCTCCACTGCACCAGACACAAATCAAATCCCACTTGAAAAAAATAAAAATAAAAAATCAAATAGACCCTACACCATTTTTAAGTCAGCTACAAAAATCTCTTATTTTCATTTTCAACCGGAAAATAATAAAGCCCATTAATGTATTATTGAGTCTAATATCTAATTGATTTGTGAAATTTGTATAAAATAATCTTTTATCAATAGACTGAGGATGAATAATTACACCTTTATTTATTTTTTATTATATTTCTAAAGAGAGAAGTGTTTGTCATTTTAAATGATATAAGGTTTTGTCATTTTAAGAGAGAGACAGACACATAATTTTTTTTTATTTAAATTTTAAATTATAAAAAAACACTCACTTTCTCTCTCTCATGATTTCCATTTTTCTGTGTCTATCTCTCTCCTAAAATGACATAACTTATGTAATTTAAAATAACAAACACCAAACTTTTTTTAAAATATTAGTTCATTTTAGAACTAATTAATCCTTAAGCCCAAAACAAGGCCCATTGCTATCATTAACCCGGCCGAAGATGCAATTCTCGCGTTCTTCGTTTCGTTTCTCTCTCTGTCTCTCTCGCTTCTGTCGAAGCAGACTTGGTGTTAAGTCTTCCCCTCTTTCGTTTTTCAATCAAATCCCAATTCTGAAACTGAAAGTCTTCGTTCCAATCCGAATCCGAACAAAAAAAACCCATAAATTTCACCGCTTTTGATTCCATCCCTTCTCTGCAACCCCACTTGTTTCCACCGCCTTAACTTCAAATCTTTGTTTTTTTTTTAATCCAATTTTTTCTTCTTTGGATTTCTCTTAATATTTTGTTTCTGGGTATTTTTCCTTCCACGTTCCCAGCAAGTTTTTTTTATTAAAGGTATCAACTTGAGGGTGTTGAAACTCGGTCACAATGGGAAGACACGTGTTACTGGCACTTATGTTGTTGTCTCTGATTGTGTTTGATTCTTCTGATGCTTCCTTTGTTTGGGAGCTTAGAAAGTTGGTTGCTTTGGATCCAAAAGATAACAAAACTCAAACAACACAGGTGAGTTTTTCTCTCTCTTTTACCCCTTATGCTTCATTGCTTTGAAAAAATTGATTCCATTTTTATTTTTATTTTATTTTTCTTACGATGGTTGAATAAAGTTCTCTCCTTTAGGATTCTCCACCGCCAAAGGATTCTCCACCGCCAAGTGAGAAGAAACCTGATCCAAACCCTGTTGGTGAAACAATAAAGAACAAAGAGAATACACCTTCTACCAATAATGATACTGTTTCCCCAGTTCCACCACAACCTTTGACCAAAGTGGAGAATGGGACTGATCATCAAAAGGAGCCCAATAATACTGATCCTCGTACTAGTGCACCTCCTGTAACCAAAAAAGATGATGGTGGCAAGAATCAGGAAGAAGAGAAGAAAAAAAATGGGTTAATTGTTTCTCAATCTAACACCAATGAGACTTGTGACGGGCTGAATAAATGCACAGATGATGGGGACATGCTTGCTTGCATTTCCAAATTTGGTATTCACCATTGCTTTTGGTTATTTCATTAAGTCTCAGAAATCAATGATTTGTTTCGTTTGTGTGTTTTTTTTTTTGTTATAATGTTTTAGTGCAACTTTTGTTGGTTGTTCTTTGTGTTAATAACTGCTAACTCGGAGTAGAAGGATATTTATATCTTCAATGGAAATACTGATATAGAAACCAAGGAGGAATTGCTTCTATGATAAATGTTTGCTTAGTTCAGGAAGACCATATTAAACTGCTTAGTCTTTGGATGGTCTGAAATTCTAGTTAGATGCCATTTTCCAAATCAGTAGTGTCAAGGTAACTGAATTTTCCAATTTAGAATATGCAGTTAAGAGAAAATTAATTGTGGTTGAAAATTGAATGCTACTAATAAAGTTACTCAACATAGGGCAATACTATAGACTGAAAGATAACTCTTGGACAAAGTTTTTGGTAACTTGGTTAGAAATTTTGGGGTTGTTGAGTTGAGTGTGCAACAACGGGAATGTTGTTGCCAGGTCTGTGTGTTTGATGTCAAAGCTCTTGATTCTACTTTGTTAAGAAAACAAAAAACAGCAAGAAAATGGAATATAAAGTTCAACATTTGTTTCTGCCATTTATTGGACAATTTTCAGAAAAGAACAACTTCGATTCCAAGAACACAAATGCAGCTGAAATTAAATTATTGAATTTAACTTGGTTTCTAGTTTCTCACTGCTTCAGAATTTTATTGTGTTCTTTTTATTGTTCCATTAACAAACTGGCTTTGAACAATGTATCTATATGAACAATTTTGATTCTTATGGTAGTGTTTGGCAAATTTTAGACCTAGTTTCATAAATATTTGTAAAATTGAATCTGTTCAAAATAGTTCTTAGTTTGTCTAAAATTTGATTTTGAACTAGTTTAACTACAAATATTGGTAAGTAAATCTAGGTGACTTTTTTTTTTATAGAAATTTTAAAAGGGGAAGATAATTAAGGGAACATTTTATTTATAAATAAAAATGATTAGTAAATATGAACTAGTTTTGACATAGAAGCTATCTATGTAAGATTAAGAACTAGTTTTTCAAACAACAGGATTTTAAAACTGGCCCAATTGTTCCTAGTTATTCATTTCTTAAAGTTTTACAAAACTTGTAGTTCGGTGAGTCAACTATTAGTTAGAACTTTTTAGAATTTTTAGATCATGTAGTGAAAATTACAAGAAAGGAATTTTTAGTATTTGCACTTTAAGACAATTAAAGTTATTCCTATTTTTAGTAGTTCAGTATGCCTTAGGACGGAATAGAGAAAAACTATAAGCATGGTGGAGAGTTTGACCTATTGTTATTCCTATGTTCCAGATGGTCCCTTTTAGTCTTTTTCTCTTCATCTCCCTTCGCTTCTTTTTTTCCCCTTCTTTTTTACTTTATCTCTTTTCCCCTTCCCCATCTTTTTTTTTTCTTATTTATTTATCTATTTATTTATTTTATTTTATTTTCCTACACCCCTCTTATTTTTATTGTTCCTTTTATACTTATATATATATTTTATTATTTTATTTTTAATATTTTTTATCTTTTTTTACTTTTCTCTTTTAAATCCCTGCATATTTTTCATTTGTGTTCATCAACTACCGACCCCAATTAGTTTGGGATTGTTGATGTTGATGTTGCACTTTAAGACAATCAACTACTCAATTAGTTAACAGGGTTCAAAGAGTGGTTAGTGAGTGACCACTGCTTAATTAATCAAGTGTGTTATGTTGCATTTTCAAAAATTCTCTCTTTTTTTTAAATAATTTTCAAAAGCTAACTTTTAAACCACTCTCCATCAAACTCCAACTTCTGAGAGTAGGGGTGAGAACAATCTTTGTACGTAGACTTACATTTGGAATTGTTGAAGTTGCTAATTTTTCACTTGATCAACTGGAGTTAGAGGCTGTCTTTTTCAATGATGATGGTCAATTAGGGGGTGAAAGGACTTAGATGAGACTAGATCCTGTCTTATTTTTCTGGTTGTACGTGAATTGATTAAATGTTAAAGATATAGTTCATTTTCTTGTTTTGGAATCTTTTTGTAAAGACACAAAGTGTTTCCTTTGTATAATGATGGCTCTTAGTATTTTTTTGGTGAGGCTCGTTATCATAGGGAAAATATAAAGCTTAGCAAGGTGTTTTGAGAAGGTGAATATGCAAATCTTGGTTCTCAATTTAGATCTTTTGTCATGTTGCTCATACTTAATTTTATTTGACTTGCACACAGTCACACACATACAGTACCGTGTCCTGGTGTCCTATATTTTGGACATTGTATCTGTGTCATATCCGGTGTCCGTGTCTATGTGCGTGTTTCATAGGTCCTAAGTTCTTGGCCTAATTTTTTATTCTGGTTTTGGTAGAAGCAATGAAGATAATTTTTTGTGGCAGTGTGCAATATTTGCTACACTTTGGTGCATTTGGGTGGAGTGTAAGTCTCTCATCTTTAGTCAAGCAGCTACTGTAGGACAAGATTAGGGTTTTGGTTTCCATTCAGTGTAAAGCATCTGGTCTTTTTAGAGGGTTATCCTTTACAGATATGTTGAGGGATTGGATAGCTTTTACTACATTGGTGCCTTTTGATCCTTCTTGTTTTCTTTTATTTTATTTTAAGGAGTATTTCTTATCCTCCTTTCCCTTTGAACTTCCTTCTCTGTGTTCATAAATATCTTTTATTAAAAAAAGGGGTTCATTGTTGCTACTAAACTAGAAATACATCTTTTTTTTTTGAGTAAACTAAAAGGTATGCCCACCCCCGTCGGGGGTGAGACTAATCCCTTTTCGAGCATCGATCGGACCCTTTCGGGGGTAGCTCTACCCAATCCGTTTTTTCCATACCCAGGGCTCGAACTCGAGACCACTGGTTAAGGGAACACAGACTCCTTCCATCTGTGCCAACGGGTTTGGGTAGAAATACATCTTTTTAACCTAGAATTCCTTTTAAAAAGTGGAGCTAGTTCATGAACTGCGACCAATCCTACGATTAAGAGGCCAGATCAGGATTAGTGGATTACTATGTCCGGTTCACCTTGGTTTAAGAAATTATTGCATGAGATAGAGACTAAACTACTATATTGGCTAGTTCCTAGTTCAACCTGTTGAACCAGTCCATCTGATCCAGCTTGCTTCCAGAACTGACTGTTAGTTTTGTGTGGATTTGTGGCTTCAGCATGTGAAGAAACAGAGCAAGAAATAGTGCTGTGTACACTTCTCTATTTAGATGTTGTCTATTGATAGGAGATTCCTTCTGTGACCTTTGTTTACATGAGGGTACTGGTACCTTTAGCAGTTCGTAACTAATATTTAGTCATGTTTACCATTTAATTGAAATATAAATACAAATATAATTGCTGTACTTATATTTCAAGTAAGTGGGGCACTTGGAGAAATATTAACCACTAATTGTTAAGGTGTACCAGCCACCCTTGTAAAAAGGAAGGGTACTGGAAAAACCTCCTTATTGGTATAATAAAAAACTCATAATTCAATTACTTTTGCTATTGTAGTAATACTTGGTTCAACAACAGTCAACAATATGAACTGATTTGCATTTTTATTCATTGTAAAAACCACCAGATCCCAAATACTTGGTTGTTCTTCTTCAAAATAGAGGAGATGGCACCATCAAAGTGAAGCTTCGTAATGAATTTGAAAGTAACCTTGGAGACGTAGAAGTTGGCAAAAATAACACGGAAAAGGTATCAGTCATTTTTTCATAAGCTGAGATTTTTATTTTAATTGATGTTATTATTTATGTATCAAGGTGCTATTTTCTTCTTCATACCTGCTTCCTGTTCAAACTTAAGCATAAACCTCTGAGATGTACTGCTTCCTTGCCACTGTCTCAACTCATTGTTTATTTTGTGAAAGAAACTGAAACCACACCCCATTAAACCCCGACTAGCGAGGGTGGGGTGAGGGCAATCCATGTACACAGTTTTATCCTTGTATATTTGCAAAGAGACTATTTCCCGGATTCGAACTCATGACCTTCAGTCACAAAGGAGCAACTTTACCATTGCTCCAAGCTTGCTCTCAATTTTAGTTTTTTAGGGTTTAGGGTTTATTTTGTGAGTCAAACAAAACATAACATTATTTTGGACAAACAAAATATAATTTGTTAAAAATTGTCAGCAAGCATTTTACAAACAGTTTTTAATAAAAAATAGACTACTAGTGAATCAATTTCATCATTTCCAGGACCCACTGAGGTATAAAATTTCAGAATCATACAGTTCATTTGGATGTATGGAACAGAAAGAAATGTGAGAGTTATTAAGTTATGGAATAGAATGGAAAGGACACTGATGATCTTTCCTCCATTTATCTTAGGTTAAGGATGAGAATCAGATACTAGTCTTGGAACATAGAAGACTGAGAAGTGAGGGCAAGGGATTTTATAATTTTTTACCATTCTAACTGTTCATTTTTTTTAAAACCTTTGTTATTTATTGTTCCTTCATGACTGAAAGGTGATGCGTTCGAATCCAGAAAACAGCCTCTTTGCAATTATGCAAGGGTAAGGCTGCGTACAAGGATTTCCTCTACCCCACACTCGCTAGTCGGGTTTAACGGGGAATGATTTTTTTTTTTTTGTTACTTGTTGTTGGCAGGGGAAACTGAACGTCTGCTAAATCTCATTCAAATTCTATCCAGATGGAAGAAGGCTGAAAGTATAGTGTTCCTAAGAAACACATCACTCCATTTGTTTTCCTTCTCTCCAATACTATAATCCATTCAAATTAGGGTTCGGCTGTTCCTTTCTTTATTTTTCCTTTCAGTTCATTCTGTTCAATCCATACAAACTTATGGTTACACTGTTGGACCATTGAAATTATGGAATTAAATTTTTCATAAATAAATTCTGATCAAAATGTTTGTATGGGTACAGTTACCATAAGAAAGGAATTCATTTACAAACCTTGTCATAAGTTAAATTGTTAGGTCTAGAAATCAAGTCAATTTCTGTTCCACCACTTCTTTTGTCACCCTTCCATCACTACATGAAGCACCTACTTCTTGCTCCTTCCTGTGTATTTGGCTGGGGTAAGTGGGGCGGTCTTTCATATAGATGCACTATCTCCTGTTATTTGTGCTTACAGTCTCAAAGGCCATCTGGTCAAGCTTGTGTGCTCAGTATTTTGTTAGATGTTTGGTTTCATAAGAAATACAATGATGACCAAAAGTTTTTTACTGTAGTCTTGACTCTTGAGTACATATCGGATCTGCAATTGCCTTACTGTTTTTGCACTCCTGTTTTTCAGGTCAATATCACACAAACTAGCAGGGAAAGTACCCAACTGACTTTAAATGCTGGAAAAGGGGATTGTGTTCTTCACACGGTTACTCGCATACCCGAAGCGAATTTTTTTCTGCGTCTTCCTTCTTATGACAAAATTTTAACACCAGTAAACGGTGCCTATTTCCTCATAGTGACAGTGGTAGTCTTTGGAGGGACATGGGCTTGCTGCATGTTCAGGAAGAAGCGGCATGACGAGGTCCCATATCAAGAGCTTGAAATGGGATTGCCGGAGTCTGTTTCAGCTACCAATGTGGAATCAGCTGAAGGTTGGGATCAGGGATGGGATGATGATTGGGATGACAATGTGGCGGTGAAGTCACCATCAGTACATGCAGGAAGTATCTCAGCAAATGGCCTTACTTCAAGATCTTCAAACAAAGATGGATGGGAAAATAACTGGGATGATTAGTTATCAGAAGGGAAAAGAAACAAGGGAATGGATATTAGCCTCAAAGTTGGAGGAGGTGGAAGCAGAAAGCAAGGTGAAAAATCACAATTGGGGGGAGATTTAGAAGAAGGGATATGACAAATGTTGCTGTGCTGGGGCTTAACTTGTGTGTCCCAGCAAGGGACAACTAAAAAGAAAAGAGAAAGTGTAATAGTATTAACACATTGGATTGTTGATGTTGAACATGTAATAGTGAATGCCCTAGCCCAAACGAGAGACAAAGGAATCTGTAAATGAAACATAGGAGGTAAATTATATTTTTGAGATCAAATCCATATATACACTATATTCTTGTGACCCCAAAAATGAAAACTTTGTTTTTATTTGGCTACCTTGAGGAGGCTATTCTCTCTTTGTAGAGGTGGTTGGGTGTTGACTGGTGATGTGAGTCCACTTTTCATACTACTGTACTGTTTCTGGGTTCATGACTTAGTTTTAGGGAACAGGAGAACTATGATATGGCTAGTTTTAGTTATTGTTTGGTTAGTGTGTTGGGTTATTTTATTTTTCTTTAATATATGCACAAAGCATTTAACTTACTTTAATATTATTGAAGGTATATATAATATTTAAAGAAATAAACCTGGTGTAATGTGTCTGGAGTACTTATAAAATAGTAAAATAAAAAATGCCAAAATAAAATAAAATGAATGAATGAATGAAAAAGAGTTGATGGTGTGAAATTCCCCACCCCAGGTGAACCCGCTGTCATAAAACGTTATATTTTATGTACTAAATGATACATTTTTGAAGGAAATGTTACAAAAATTCTAATAGATTTAAAGAGAAAAATGTATGTCATTTTAAATGACACAAGTTGTGTTATTTTATAGACACAGTAAAATTATTTTTAGTGGGATTCACATCTTTGTGTTTATGAATGATATAACTTATATCATTTAAAATGACACAAACTTTTCCGTGATTTAATTGATAAACTAATATAAGTACTTGAAATTGAATTTTATTTTTAGTAGGAAACAAGGAATAAGAGAAGATGAATATAAACTATATTTTTAAATGATTTATCATTAAAGAAAGCCCATGCTCTAGTCTAAAGAGATTTTGCCGATCCAAAAGTGGTTTTAAACATCAAAATATAATTATTCATATTGCATAAGATAATTTATTTTATGTAACATATAAAAAATGAGTGAGATTTACTTTTTTTTCTCTCTTTTTTTTCGTGATAGATCCCATATATTTTTATATGTATTATATAAGATAAATTTATATCATGTAACATAAAAAAATTATATTCCCTTTAAATATACATGTCATCATAAATCATTGGAAAGCTTAAATGCATATATGTCACTCTTGGGCTCTTTTTCCTCTCACTTACGCGTGCGTAGGCAAAAGTCATAGACACCCAATAATTATTATTAGAGGGGGAGTGCCTTATTGAAGCTACAGTGTCATTGTGTCTCCATAAAGTAAAACCCAAATGTGGGAGTGCCTGAATGGGAATGTGGGATCAAAAATTATTTAATTGGACACATTGATTACCTAGCTATTGCAAGCTTCTGCATCAAACTTCATGTTATTCATTTGGTTCTTCTGCCAGTTATTATTATTTTTGTTTACTAAGAGCTTATTAATAATGCACAAAAAACAATGTTAGCATAAAATAGTATTGTAAGTAATTTAGACACATTAGAAGTTAGAAACCTCCACTTTTTTTGCATCAAGTATGTTAGACAAAAATGATATATGCTCTTGTTCACTTGAATCTTTTTCTTTATGACAAAGGTAACATTTGATTGTCACTCTTTTTTTTTTTTAAACTGATTCTAATTATTTCTTTAAAGCGAATCAGAACCCTCTAGTATCTCCACAGGTTCGACTCTTTGAGTTGCCTATGAGACTAATCCAGAGTTCGGGTGCGAGTCCAAAAATTACTGTACTTATGCCCCTCCCCAGATGATGTTAGTGGAATTCGAACCGAAGTCCTCTCACACCACTCAGTCCTCATGCTACCAACTGACCACACTTGGGTATTTGATTGTCACTCTTGCACTCAACAAAAAATCTTACCAACTGAATTAGTTGATAACTTTTTCGCATGAAGCAAAAATCAATATATTTTAGCTTATACGTAGGTTAATTGTAGGTATCCATCTTTTCAATGGTGATGATAATATTCTGTAGGGTCATTTACTGTTTTACATGCAGACGTAAATCAATATGGTAGCGTGAACATAAATCAATAACCTACATAAAACATTATTTCTGATTATTAAAGTGTTTTTATTTTTTTTTGGCCCTTTCAATTAGACCGCAATAAGAAACAGTTCACATTGTTGGAACATGGCAATCATGCATGTCCTGCACCAAATGTTACCATTTGAAAAAGCTTTTTTAGTTGGTGGTGCTTTTAAGGACATCTTGTGATGCGCTTTGATGATGTCTAAGAAGCCTATTTGATAAGGTTGTGTTGTGTGGCAGTCCTACAGCTATTTATTTTAAGCAATAACAATATATTTACTTCATATGCAAGCGTTAATTATTAAATTGGCTAGCACAAACTGTAAGTAAACTATTATTGTCTCTTCATAAAGTGCACATTCCCTTAGTGTGTCCTACGTTTTACTAAGAGAAACAAAAATACTAGTTTTGAGGTTTAAAGTGTCAATAAAGCAAGCAAGTGCTTTTTCCCTTTACCTTTTTTCTTTGCTGCATTATCTGTGGTCATGGCTCACATTTTGATCTAATTATACTCTGCGCCGTACATCATAGCTTTATTCACTTTTTCTTTTGGTTATTCTTAATCTCAAGTTTTAGTGTCTCTAAAAACAAATAATTCTTTTACAACTTAAGTGTGGAGGCTCATGAGTGTCCTAATTGAATGAACCTTCCTTTTACAGCAAAAAAAAAAAAAAAAACACAAGTTCAATGTCAATTAGCAAGAAAGGAAACCATAAAAATGCAATAAATAAAATTCAAAAATGCAATTTGACACCTTGAATGAAAAGGTATGGTTAAGAGATATCATTGTATCAGCTGTGGAACTGGTGAAGAAAAATCCAGTAATACAACATGAGATGAACAAAAATAAAAGAAAGAAGAGAAAAAAAGAAAAAGAAAATTTCAACAACTTGAACAAACCAAAGTAGGGAAAAATATGACTGAATATTCTTTGCATGTATAGCTTTAAACTGGATTGTTCTTCACCAGGTACTGCAATATGTGCTGTTTCTCAAACATTGCAACAAAATTCATTCTAATTCTTCTTGTCCTTCTGAAGGGCATTGGATTAACTCTAATATGTTGACTACTTCATCCATATCTGGACGGTTTGATGGCACTTGTGATGCACAAATTAACCCCAACTTTATCACAGGAATTGCTTCCTCAGCAGCAAAATTACCAAGTAACCTACCATCAACACATTGCTCCACAGTTCCTTCCTCCAAAGCACCTCTCACCATGTCACAGAGAACAACCACATCATCCTCCATATATTCCACAGGTTTTTTTCCTGTCACTATCTCCAGAACCAGGATCCCAAAACCATATACATCACATTTCTCAGTTATCTTAACAGTGCGGCAAGCAAACTCAGGAGCCATGTATCCAAGTGCACTTTGAATTTTGCTGCTCAAAACACAATGGTCTAGCATTGGTAACAGTTTCACCAAGCCAAAATCTCCTACTTTTGGCTCACCAGAACTATCAATCAGAACATTGGTTGATTTAAGATTATAGTGGATTATGTTCATTTGGTGCAAATGGGCCAATCCTTTTGCCATGCCAAGAATAATCTTGAACCTTTGACCCCAAGAGAAGACATTTTTGCTATTATCATCATGTAGGAGCTTATGCAAACTCCCTCTTGATAGATACTCATAAATGAGAAGCTGCAAGGATGAAGTCCAGTAATAACCTTCAAGTGCTACAAGATTCTGGTGCCTTATCTTCCCAAGCTTTTTAACTTCCCTCTCAAAGTCTTCTTGGGACTTGATCAAACTTGAGACTGTAAGCTTCTTGATTGCAACAGCATGTCCATCTCGAAGGAAAGTGCGATAAACAACTCCAAATCCACCACGACCTATTTCACTTTCTTTATTAAGAAGATTATGGGCTCCATCAGCAAAGTCTGCATCACCATCAAACATGACAAGCTTGCCATAGTTTGGATCATTTGCTGGCGAACAGCTGTAGTCCTCACCACCAGAGAAGGCAAATGGAGCAGCAGAACGCGCCATTGAAGAACGCACACGCATATTTAGGACAGTAATAGCCACCACACCAATGGCAATAAAAGCAGCTGCTCCAATAGCAATAAGAGCAGAGATACTGAGTATGATCCTATGATGATGATTTTGTGAGGAAATGCTGGAGTTGGAACCAGAAGAATTGGGATTTAAGACAATAGGTTTGGGATGAACAGAAGGGCATGAGTGGTTGACAATAGAACCACACAACAATGGATTACCGGAGACAGATGAGGGGGAAATGGTGTTGAAGAAGCCACCCACTGGTAACTCACCTTGAAGGTGGTTATAGGATACAATAAATGAGAAAAGATGGGAAAGATTTGCAAGCTCCTTGGGTAAACTTCCAGAGAGTTCATTCCATGACAAATCTACATACTGAAGATTGGTTAGATTTACAATGGCTGCAGGGATTGAACCAGTAAGCTTGTTGTGAGAAAGAATCCTGTACAATGCAATTGAAATGCACAAACAGAAAAGTAATTAGAAAAAAAAAAATGTAGACTCTTTAACCAGAGATGCCAATTTTCACAATTACTTTTAACAGAAGCGTGGAAAGATTTTTAATTTGTAAAAACAAATCAGTCACATTATGTTATAAAGAATAAAGCATGAACTATGATATTAGAGAGCTTACAAAAATGTTAGAGATGAACACTTCTCAATTTGAACAGGAATTCTCCCACCTAGGGAGTTCTTTTGTAGCCTCAGTTCACTGAGTGAAATTGCCCCTTCTATTTCAATAGGAATGCTTCCATTAAGCTTGTTCTCACTTAAGTCAATAATGTATAAAGATTTAAGTTCTCCTATACCAACAGGAATAGAACCAGAGATATTGTTGGTGGACATATTTAACACTTGCAGGCTACTAAGACCCTCAATCCCAGACGGAATTTCACCAGAAAATGCATTGGAGGACAAATCCAAAACCTCAAGACCATGATAAGATGCAGATGTGGACTTAAGTGAAGGATAATTTCCCTTAATGAAGCTGTTCCCAGAAAGAGAGATACTTTGTAAACCCAGCCTAAAAATCCATGAAGGAAGATGCCCTTCCAACTTGTTATGGCTGATGTCAAGAGCCAAAAGCTTAGTGCAATTTGTCATTGAACCAGGCAAGTTTCCTGTGAACTGATTCCTGGATAAATTCAATCTATGCAGTGAGTCTAGATTTCCTAATGATTTTGGAATCCAACCAGAAAACCTATTTGCAGAAAGATCCAATATCTCTAGATTTTTCAGTTGTCCAATCCAATCAGGAATGCCTCCTGTGAATGAATTACCCTGCAATCTGAGTGATGTGCATGAAGTGAGTCTTTGCATTGACTCAGGAAGTTCTCCAGAGAGAAAATTATCACTCAAATCAAGTGATTTCAAAAGTAAGCAGCCCCCAATATCCCCAGGAAGCCTACCAGTAAAGTGGTTATTCTGTAGACTCAACTCCCTCAAATCATACAGATTCTGAATTCCTTCAGGAATCTCTCCCTCAAGCAAGTTATTTGACAGATCAAGTGACTGTAGTCCCCTCAAGAACCACACCACAGATGGCAATTCCCCATCAAGTTGATTAGAGGAGAAGTTAACAGTTGCCAATGTGGAGCAATAACTCAAAGAATCAGGAATCTTACCTGTAAGGTTATTCTTTGCAAAGGAAACAGTTCTTAGAGATCCACATTGCTGGAAAAACCCTTCTGGGATTGACCCAGAGAGGTTGTTGTCACTCAAGTCAACAACTTGCAAACCCCCAAGGCGAGGAAGATCAGGGTTTATGGGCCCTGTGAAGTTGTTCCCAGAAAGTGAGAGAATTTGAAGGAACTGCAATCTCAATAGGCCTCTATCAACATGCCCAGAAAGAGAGAACCCATCAAGGACAAGAGCAGAGACCCTATTGGTTGCAGGATCACATTTAACACCTTCCCAATTGCAGGGACTGTTATCATCTTCATTCCAAGAAGAGAGTTTATGCTTTGGGTCTTCCAAACCAGCTTTGAACACAATCAACCCAAACACATCATCGTTGAAACCAGGGTCCACAGAGAGCACTGGCAGGACTGGACCAAAAAGAATAAGAAACAATAGGCATAAGCTTAATTGCATCATCTTCACCAAAGTGAGTATATTTAGAAATAAAGGGAAGTGTTCAAACTTCAAAAGCAGCCCCTCCTCATGAATTTCCACAAAGCTCAATCCCTTAACAAGAACACTATCACTTGCTTTCAGAAAAAGGATGGTAGCTCCAAACAAAGCACATCATATGCGCCACCAAACCAAGCCACTCTTCTCAGCAAGAGGCACAGTAACGGTAGATAGGACAAGCAATGGAAGCAGAAGTTGCAAGTATCCAAATCTCAAAGGATATAAACAAAAAGAGTAAGAGTAGAAAGAAACAAAAGGGGGGAAAGAAACAAAAGGATTAGACAAAAACCATGTGAGAATTAAGGAAATTCACTTTTGGTTTTTAACTGTTCAGAATTTCAAACGAAAGGAGCAAAACTAAGTAACACAAAGAAACAAACGAATGGAGAGTGGGAATGTGTTCCGTTCCCACTTTGAAGTTGGAACAAAGATTTTATCTTTTGGTAGAACAATGAAAATTTTGTTAAGGAAATAAGAGAGAAAGGTTTTGTTATGACTTTGAGCTTTCTAATGGAATGAAAAGAAGCAAAAATTTGATTTTTTGATATTTGATTAGCTTGGAAAGCGGCGAAAGAAACGCAAGGAGTGAAGGGTCTATAAAGAAATGATAGTAAGAGGAAGCCTCGGGGGTGGAGAAGCCATTAAAGTTCTCAGGGTGTGTGTGGTGTGGGTTGGTAGTGTGAAGAGTGAAGAGAGTGTGTGAGATAGAAAAGCATAAATAATAGTGTTTCTATTCCAAGTCTTCTATGCCTTCTGGTTTGTGTCAGAGAAAGTAAAGTGAAGCATTTAAAGCTTCTAACGTCAAAGACAGAGAAAGAGTGTGTGTGTGTATCAGAGAAGCTTTTTCTATGGTATGTTGCTGTATTCTTGTTTTTTTATTTAATTGTTATTAATTTAATTGTTATTAATTTAATTGTTATCACTTTAAGTTTAATTGTACCATTAATGTGATATAATAAATATTAAATAATATAAAATAAAAAATTTGTCATACTCCTCTTTAAGTTTGTATGGCTTCATTATAATGGTCAAAACCAAAATCATAATGTGTTGTTGTGTATGCACCTGCACATTTGTTTGAATTCAACTATTCAAGGTTTTTTTTTTTTTTTTTACCAATGTTTTTATAATAATAAATAAAATTTCTTATACAAAAGTGTCCTCCCACTCCCACCACCTGTATACACGATTTCCTGTGAAAATGACAACATCATTATCAAACCAAGTTGTACAGCATAATGTCATTGTAACATAACCATTCATGATTTCAAGTATATATAATCATTCAAGATTAATCTGAAAGCATGTTTCTTTAATTATTATCATTAAAAAGCAAAATTAAGCCAAATAATCATTTATTTGTTTAGTCACCAAAATGAATTTATGTTTATTGTTTGAGAAAAGTGTAATAATTTTAGAATTCCCACCTATAGTATTGTAGTATTATTTGTTATTGAAATTACATTTTATTGTAATTCTAGTTATCATTTATTACTATTTTTTTATTAACAAAATCCAACCGTGACCATAATTGCCATTGAATGGTTGTGCAAGAATTCATAATTTCAAAGAATAAAATAGAATAAAAGATGGCCCTCCCTTATTCAGAAAATTCAGAGTTGAAATAAAAACACATTGATGTCTCATGGGAACAATTTATTGCCCGAGGAGACAAGGATACCTTTGAAAAGAATAAAAAAGAACCAACCAAATGATGTCTCCACATTACTTGCTGCAATGAGCATCAAACTCCCTTTCTCTAATTTCCTTTTTTTTAATGTGACATTGACTTGGAAAATGTGCTAGTTTTTACAAAACTATATGATCATAACTAATTGCATTTACAATTTCTAGTATCAAAATAAAATTGAATTGTGTTACATCAGAAGCTTAGATTGGTGAAATGTATTTGTCAACATTACACCATAGTTGTAGCCATAGACGTCCCAATCAGACCACTTTAGGAAAAATTTCAAGCCAAGAAGGTAACACAAACACTAGAGTCAGCCATATTCTTTTTGGGCATCTTTGTTTTGTAATGCTTGTTTTGAAGCTTCAAGATTCAAACTTTCAAACACCCACCTAGTTCTTATTCAAATGGGTTCAAGCTGTTTGCTCTTGGGCCTTTCCTTTGATTTGACTTTGTATACCCAATGTTGCTCCATAAATTGACTCATTTTGCTATTTGCCTTAGAAGGCAAGCAAATATGTGACTAACTAAGAGCTACGCTTTCCATTGTGCTTGTTGAATGTTGAATTCACATCATCAAATTCACATTCACATGCTTGTGATTTTAAAAGGGTTTTAAGTTTTAAATTTTGTTTATTTGGAGTTGGTGTGTTTAAATGGCACAGGATCCAAGTAACCGAGAAACATGCATCAATCTCTTTATGTCTGAAAATGAAAATAAAAGAAATGAATAGCTTAAAGAGTTTATAGACCCAAAATAAACATATGATTATAGGCCCATGCAACTTTTTTTATTTTTTTGTTAGCCTATACTGCGTCTAGTGTCCTATTTATTTTAAGTCTTTACAGAACAAAAGTAACATGTATAGCTCTTGTTGCGATCAGTTCCCCCTTTATATTGAACCAATGGGCCAGCTCTTATGGACCTTTATCCAATAAACGAGAAAAAAATTTCATTTTTGTGTGTGTGCGGGGTTTTTCATGTTATATATATATATATATATATATATATATATATAGAGGTAGGATCCTTTGACACTAGTGTCAAATTTAAAATTTGACACCTCATCTGAGAGTCATTAGATCAAAAAAGATCAATGGTATCACATGCTTACAAATCAGAGTCGTTGATTTTTTTTTAATCTAATGGCTCTCAGATAAGGCGTCAAATTTTAAATTTGACACTGGTGTCAAAGGATCCTACCTCCATATATATATATGAGTTAGGATGATGTTTTTGAAAATAAAAAATAAAGATTATTCTTAAACATAAGAAGTCATGGAAAGTAATAACATTCTAGTTATATTCCAAATAACTGAAAAAAAAAAACAATTAAATATCGATCACTAATTATTAAAGGTATTAGTTTCCTAATAAAATAAAAAATTCTCATTTTCATGAGGGACAAAATTACTCTTCCGTTAATTTTTCTTAAAGCAAAGCTTATTAAAGTCAGTAAATTTTTAGAAAAAATAAATATTTTTAATTAAAAAAACCTACACATTACTAAAAGAAATTTACTTTAACTTATAAGCTAAATTTAATCAAAATTTGCTAACGAGAAAAAGAAATATTAAAAAAGGTTTATGAGCGGCTAATGTGTTGAGCCTAGGTGTGTATATATCCCTTGAGAGGGTATAATAATGCACTTAGATATAGTGTATGGATCAAAACTCTGTGAGAAAATAATGGTATATATCTCAGAGGTGATTGAGAAAAAGGGAATGGTGTAATTGTGTACGTAGACTTTATATGTTAGTAAAGTAATAACTCATAAATGTAATAGATGTAAGATAGCTCTTCGATGGATGAAGAGATATATTCAAGTGGAAAAATATTCTCCATGAATATACTTACTGTTGTGCCTAAGGCAACATTACTCCAACGTGTAGGATGAGAGTTACACATGGGGTGAAAGATTCTCTCAAAATAAGGATTTAAAATGACTCTATAAATAAGTCTCGAAAGTCTCGAAGAGCCAACCCATCGATCATGGTTCGTAAGAGTTTGTGTTTCTAGCGAATATAAACTCGAAACAAAATCGATACACCAAGTCTTTCCTTTCTTAAAATTGCATGCCAATGCAAAGAATTCCAAAAAATTGGTATTGTCATATGAAGCAAGTGAATACTAGTTTTATTGGTCTTCATTTTTTTTTTTTTAACTGTTGACGTCCAATGCATGTGTACTCATTCACCCCCAATTGGTTGGTTTTTCTTCTTCAGTCGTGTTTGATAATTAGGTTATAAGCTTAGGTTTGCTTTTTTTGGGATATATCAATTGGTTCATCGCTTCGCAACTAGTCCGATTCCATGCAGGCCCAAACACGATGAGCCACACACTCTGGGTTGGACTAGCATTCTCAAAAACTAATTTGTTTCACGCCAACCACATAAGCCAACAGGTTACACCAAAGAAGGTGCTACTGGCTCGATATTTACCTCCCAAGTTGCGATGAATCCAAACCTGGAACTTGTCACTTCCTCCTTGTTGGTTGTTAACCGAATGGCCCAGTCTTGTCCAAGTCTCCCTAGCCCAGTGACAATTTCTGAAGATATGGCAATAATCTTCAAAGGGGAAGTTGCACCTAGGGGAAGAAGTATCGTCGGACATATGTCTCCTCGCACGTTCCATATTAGTCAGAAGATTGTTTCCTAATAACAGCCAGATGATTATCTGGCTTCTCTCTCAATATTGGCAGCTGTTCTTGCCTTGAAGCTGAGCTTTGGGGAATTTGGCAGGGTCTTCAAGTAGTGAAGGATCTGAATTTCAAGGAAGTATGGATCGGCTGTGATAGCAAGGAAGCTATTTTTTGTATTAACTCCTCAACTGAAACAGATGGTAGTTCCCTGTTAGTTAGGAAGATTAGAAGTATTGTTCATTCCTTGGAACATGTTTATTTTGAGTATGTTCCGAGAGAATTTAATTCCTGTGCTGACAGATTAGCTTCTTTAGGTTGGAAAGGTAGGGGTGGAGAGTTGAATGTGTATTCCTCTCCCCCTACTAGTATTTTTCCTTTTTGGAAAGAATTTCGTAGCTTTCTGCTGATGTAGCATGATTCTTTTGACATGCATCAGCTTTCAATTTAATTCTTCTGGGCTAGGCCCTCCACTTTACCAAAAAAAATAAAATAAAAAATAACAGCCAGATGAATGTTTTAATTCTAGGAGGGCTATTCCAGTCCCAAGAAATAAGCCTAACTAAAATTGCAAATTCAATTCAGAACCCACTATAATGTAACTTGTGGTTATTCGTAATGAAATCTCAATTATTCTTCCCTCTGACTTGAATTGTTTAAGTGGTGAGATTAGATTGTTTTTCTCCATGGGGTGTAATAATATAATAGTTATATAAGATACAATGATCATACGAATCAAAACACTATGGAGAGTCATGTAGGTGATATCTCAATCGTATGCTAAGAGCAAAGCGAGAATGTGTGCAACGACGGAGCCAGAGACAAGATTCAGTCAGTACCAAAAGATTCAATTAGTAAAATTCAATTAGTATCGATATTATATTATTTTTAAAAATCTAACCAATACCAAAGATATATCATAATTTTTAAAGTAAATATGTAATATTTTTAAAAATCAGCTAGTGTCAAAGCACTACCTAAGAACCAAGTGGTTCCGCTACTAAATATGTGAGTGTATGATGACTTTGAGGTAATATTTTGATATAAAGTAGTAGCTTAGAAAACAATGTGTAGAAGCTACATAATCAATGACAGGAAATGAGTGTATATAAGTGGGGGAAATTCTCCAATAATAAATGAAAAAGTGAGTCATAACTGTTTTGTCATAATGGACCCCATTGTATGTGAGACAAACACACTCACTTGAAACGTGAGATGTGAACTGTGTCATAAGAATGAGATTCTCTACAATGAGAATCTAAAAATCTCACTTTAGAATGTAGAGAAATAATCTCTTATATGAGACTAAATAACCTACCTATTAAACTGAACCAATATAACCGATCCACAACTTGAGTTGAACATATAAAGCCTCCTCAATTACAATTGCAATTCTTTCTTTAAATTTAGGGTGTCCCTTCTCTCTCTCACTCTATATAATTCCTTTTGCAAGGATTTTGGGCAAAGAATATGCCGGTCCATTTTGATTTGATGGATTGGAATAAGAAGTTATAAAGAGAAAGCATATTTACACGCACACTTTCACTATGATTGTATTTGATGAGAGCTTTTTCTCTGCATCAGATGTACCAATATTCATCCAAAAAAAACAAAGTGAAGATTCAAAAGAAAATAGCCAAAATCATTTGGATTTAAATGTGATTAAATTTTCCTTATTTGGCAAAGAGGAGCAATACTCGAGTGCTACTGCTACCGTAACGTAACACTAAAAAAATCGGTATTTGAGGGAAGGAAGGAAACAAGCAAGACTCAATTGCTCAAAATAAGATTTTATATTTTTAACGTGATTATTGATTTAGCAGCTGACTTTACATTTTTGTTATTAAACAAAAAACTATTAAGAAGTGCGAAAATACTAAAGAGAAAAAAGTAAAACGAAAATAATACATATATAACATTTCATATATATTTTTATCCAATGATTAACGCAAATAATTAATAACAAGCGTATATTATTTAATGACTAAAAATATTAATTAATTACTTATGCATTAATTATTAATGTATAATCAACAATTGGTAAGGAACTTTTATTCTTCTTAATTATATATTTTAAATTTGAGCTTGGAAATGAAAATAATAATTTTGAAAAATTTTATTTTTATGAAAATAATTTTATCATGTTATATGAGATAATTTTATATTATATACATATAAAAAAATCAATGAAATTCATTTTTCTCTTTCTTACTTTTCTCATTAATAAATCTATGGCATGATATAATGGGAACAATGACCAAAGTGTCACTGTTGGCAAAAAAATTTACCGGACTGTCATGCTAACAGTAAATTTTACCAAAATGTCATGTGGCATATTTTGCTACACTGTGTAGCGAAATATGTGTGCAAATAATTTGCTACACAGTATAGCGAAATATGCCACGTCAGAATGCACAGAACCAAAAATGTCACGTGTCAAACGGAGAATTTCGCTACACTGTGTAGAGAAATTCTCCCTGTTTGACACGTGGCACTTTTGGTTCTGACGTGGCATATTTTGCTGCACTGTGTAGCGAATTATTTACACACATATTTCGCTACACAGCCACATGGCATTTTGGCAAAATTTACTGTTAGCGTGACAGTCTGGTAATTTTTTTTGCCAACAATGACACAATGGTCACTGTTCCGATATAATGCAACATGAATAATATACTGACGATAAATTTAACCAAATTTTTTTGGACCTAGGAATAACGTAGTTAAAATTGAGAGTTTATGTAAAATAAAAAATTATAACGTAAAAAAAATCATAAAAATATAAAAATATTTGAAATATTAGCAAAATTATTTTGATGAAAAAATAACTTATAAAATTATACTAATAAATCAAAATTTTAACTATTTTATACTAATAAATCAAAATTTTAACTATTATTATTAAGACCATTCAGCTTGAGGGATTGGGACTAACGGATCAAAGAAATTGTTCGATGATGAATAGGTAGGTGTCAGGGTCACAGTCTCAGGACGAGTTCCATTCCCAAGCAAATAAGCAAAAAACACATTCTGGTGGTTTAGGACTTTTCACAAACACTTGCCCTCCCTTCTTTGTTTCTATAAATTCCTTTTGACTTTGATTCCTTCCCCTTCCTGCAAAGCTTCTAATCCTCACCAACTTCTCGTAAGCTTCGCCATCGCCTTCCTTCAACTCCACTCTCTCTCGTTCTGGATCACAGGGCCTCGATGAGTTTCACCATGGATTCGGTTTCGGTTTTAAACCCTAAACTCACACAAACCCATGTTTCATTGCCATTCAACAGGCTTGCCCATTGTGTCAAATTCGACCCTTTACTTAAACCTCGCGCTTTCAGAGTCTCTGTTAACGCCGTTTCCCCAAATGGGGTTGGTGCGTGCTTTCTTCCCCTGAATCGACGAAGCCCATTAACCCTCGCTTTCGCAGCAAAGCACCAAGACTCGGTAAGATGAAAAAGTAACGAGCTTTATTCGGTTTGTGAACTGGGGGTGGCGTAGTTGAAACTTGAAACGCCATTGTTCAATCAATGCACGTTTCAAATTTCAACGTTCCGCAGCTGAAAGTTAGTTGGTTGGTTAGTTAGTTAGTTAGTTGGTTGGTTGGTTTCATTCAATATTCTTGAATTTCTAATGTGGATTGGGAACTGTATAGGAAAATGGTGAAATTGAAGTGGAGAAGGGGAAGGATGCGGAACCCTACATTGGTTCTGAAGAGTCACAGGAAGCATGGAAGCAGGCTCTGGATACCTTCAGGGAACAAGCCATTAAGTTTCAAGGAATTTCTCAAGAAGCATATGAATTGTATTCTAAGAAGGCTATTGTCATTTTGAAAGATACCACGGAACAGTTGAAGGTACAAGCAGATAAGGCAAGGCATGATTTGAGTGTGGCAGCAATAGAAGGCAAAGAGTATTTGTCCACAGCTGCTGAGAATTCACCTGAGGTGAAGGACATCGTTGAGACATTTACCTCCCCAACTGATGATCTCAACAAAATATCTGGAGTTAGGGACTTCTATGTTGGTGTACCTTATGGTATGAAAACTATTTATGTTGTGTGGTCAATTTTTAGAATGGGAGAATATTTTTCTGAATTTTACACCTCTTCTAGGTCTGTTTTCTAACATATTGCAGAAACTATGTTAAAAGGCATTTGTATGTAAGATAATCCCTGATTCCCTGATATAGATGTTGTTCTAGTAGCTGACACTGTCTTGCGGTGAGGGACTTGCAAAATGAGGGAAAAGGACTCCATCCTCAAGCTAGCTTGTGTCTAACTTAAAGAGAGTAAATGAGATAGCATGGATTATTTCTTCAAATAAATAGCCAAATTAGTTTCTCAAAGATTGATCATATTAATATCTGAGAAATGGAAATTATCACATAAGTCCTTGAAATATGCATTCGGTAGTTCAAATTAGTCCTTAAGTTTATGGCATCAGGTGACTGATGAAATGCATATTTCAGTGACATATGTGGTAATTTTCATCCTTAAGAGACTGACATGAACGGCCTTATATCTTTCAAGGACTAAATTGAGGGTTTACTCGTATTTCTTCATACCTTGGGGAAAAGTTGCTATATATAGATTGAGGAGGACAGATGATTTGCCATCATCACTTGTAGGGATGTGGTGGCATCTGATGAGGATATATATATATATAAATATATAAGGACTGATGTTGTTGGAATCTTTCTAGACGTTGGGCCAATGTAATGAGGCCGGTTTGTTGGGCCTCAATATCAGTATCATACAGATGTCATCTCATTAAATTGTTTAATAGACATGTCCAAAGTGTAATGATATGACTTCTATTATGCTGACTGGGAAGATTTTATTGCCTCCTTTCTGCTCCCATATACCTAGTTTAATATTTATGTGATATTCCTATTCTTTGCAGGTTTGATACTTTCCCTTGGTGGCTTCCTTAACTTTATGGTTACAGGAAGTATTGCAGCCATAAGGTTTGGGGTGATTTTAGGTGGTGTCCTCTTGGCTTTAAGCATTTCAAGTCTGAGATCATATAAAAAAGGACATTCCTCTCCTCTAGCTTTGAAGGGCCAAGCAGGTAAGGTCATATGCTCGCATGTAACAAAAAATGCTGCATCTTACAGTTGACTTATTTGTATTTGGGGAATTCCAAATTCTTTTTTTATACTCATTCGAGCTTTTTTGTTTTGTTGTTTTTTGTAAATAATAGAGCATGGGTTGGAAACACCAATTACCCCTAGCATATTGAACCATTATAATGCTGACTTGCACTTTTGTCACTGAACTGTTGCATAATTAAGGGTTTAAATCTTGTTTTTCTATATGATTGATGCCTTAATCTGCTTTGATTTGTTTTTGTCCACAATATTTTAAATACTAAGCAAATTGTTATAATCAAAGAAGAAACAAAGCATTCTTCACATTTTAATGAGACTTACATTGTACTTTTCGAGATGATGACATGATGTTTCCTTCTTTCAACCTCAACATTTTTTTTCAAAATCTAATTTGTTGATTTTTATTTTTCTTTTCAATTATGTTTATTGGTTTGTTTCTCGATCTTGAAGCTTATTTTAAATTGTTGGACTTGCAGCAATAGCAAGTATATTGTTTCTGCGGGAGATAAGCAAAGTGAGACATTCTTCGAATATTTATCAAAATTAATCTAATTTCATCCCAATAGAAAGAACTCATTTAATTTGCAAACTTATGATAGTTCTGTTCCTGTTTTCTTTTTCCCAGGGATCGTCTTATTTCACTGTCTTGATCAGGTTCGTGAAACTTTATTTTTCTTTAACTTATATATGACCTTATTTATCTTCATTTTAGAGTTATTGTTGCACTAGCTTTTTTCCCCCACCCTAGCCTTTACAAATAATCTCAGTCACTTGCTGTTTTTTCATGTTTAGCAAAACTTAAACAGGGTTGAATAACCAGATTTTATTAATGCTATGAACAGTGATGTCCCTCATGACATTGAGTTATAATAGGTGACATATTCATCTACCTAACTAATTCCTTAGTAGTCTGGAAGCTTGAAAACAACTAAAAGCTTAAGGGGAAGATAAGTTTAAACCAAATAATCTAACAAATAATTGCTAAATTGCAAATTCGGAATTTTGAAAAATTGTAATTCTGTCAGAAACATATAAACTATAATTGTTCTTGCAAAAGACCCAAATGGAATACTCGGCTAATCTTAGGTTTCTACTTAATCTGTGGAAATGCAGCTTTGAAATGGAATGTTATTGGGCACATTCCCATTCTTTGGTCCAATGCTTTGATTTTTCACTGCAATTAATGTTTTGTTATGTAACAACTTTGTACATCTGCAGTGGTGCGGTAGTGGCATTTTATGTCTATAGAATGTTACTGGAACCTAAACAACAAAAGGGCTCAAACTTGGAAAGTGGAGGAGAAAACTAGTTCAGTGATAAGGTTAGCCAATTAAAGTTCATACTCATAGATATTATATTCTAATATAAAAAAATGTTCAGGTGAACATATAAGAGAAAGATGGTCTTTTCAAGATGTAGACCTTTTTTTGTAGTGTCAATGTAATTGATTTCTATTTGCTACTCAGTGTCAAATAAAAAAGTTGAAGATCTGCGTGAAGATGGTTAGAGTAAATTTTGATGATAATTTATTTCTTTGATATAGTTATTCACGGGCTGAGTCATGAGGACCAAAGATTCACTGCTGCGGGTTATGGTTTCATGCATGGAAAAAACGAGCTTGGAAAATCTAAATATAATGTCACATGTACTTTCATGTATGTTTTTGTCAGAAAAATACTAAATGTCATATTATGAATGACCTCTCTTGGAGGTGGGATATTACGAAATGGTTTTATTTCTCTATATTTTTTAATTTCTCATTGACCTCTCTAAATCCTTGTAAGCCTTCAGATTGTGGCTTGGGGACAGTTTCTATTATACAAGTCAGGTGTTGAGAGCTTTGCCTTCAACTTGCATAAAAAAAACATTAAAATAAAAAAAAATCATACTAGCTCCATGCATTCTTCATCCCACAAGGAAGGGAAATTCAAACTCTTATGGATTAAAACAAGTATTCTATTAATGTTTCTTCTGTTTCAAACAAAAAGGGTAATTTCCCTTTAGCTTCTTTAACAGTTGAACAGTACAGACTATTGCCAAATTGCATTCATAAATCTTTTTATAAATGAGTGAAGTTAAAGTTTATATATATAATGATAGCATTGAGGTTATAACCTATAAACTCATGCTAATTATCCAAGTCTTTCAGGACTAGTACATTCCCAGTGGCTTGAAGGAGTTAAGTTTGTGCTCAAGAAATTTGTTCAATATGGGTACAAAATAAAATTAATATGATATTATCAAATAACCTTTCAGAAAAACTTTTTGCAACATTTGCTGTTGAATTAAAGGCGCTATCATTGTATACAAAAAAAAAAAGGCGCTATCAGTCAAATTATATATATATTTTAAAAAATTTGTAACTTAATCAGAACAACTCTGGTGCAAAGAACATCTAAAAGTTAATTAATAATTTAATAAATATAATTTTTAAATATTTATGTCTTACTTTTTTAAAATGTTGTGTGTAAGGTCAAAACGATTTTGAAATGTACTGAAGATAAATTGCACGAATCTTGGGCACACATCTAAATTTTTTTATACCGATTATGTGGAAAATAGAAAAACTATATTTGAGGTTAATGGTCTTGTACCCTAACTGTACATGTCTTTAGTGACTTGTCCTTTGAGACGATTGTGTTACTTATCTCCAAAGGAAGAGTTTGGAATTTAATTTTCTAAACCTAAGTTGGGTAATTCAAATCTTAAGTTGAAAGGCAAGTATATAACCCCTTGAAAGGCACAATTTTTTGCATCGTTTTCCTCTTCAATAAAGCCAGTTTGCTAACAATCTCAATATGATTCTCACTTTTTCCAAAAACTTTAGGCCCTCCATTAATTCTTTAACAAAACCTCAGCAGTGACACAATAAGTAGTCCTTAAGGTCCCTAGTTGAACAGAATATGGTGAAACTTGGAGGAGCTAAAAGAGGAGAAAAGGACATAAAATTCCATATAGATGATACTTTTATTACCTCAGAAGTCAGAGCATACTGTCACAACTACTTATGGTTTAAAATTTACAAAGCTATATACCAAAAAAATAAAAATTATCCGCTTGGAGAGAAAGGTGTAAGAGGGAAAAAAAAAAAAAGAATACATTAGCAAGAAGTTCTAGATATCATGGTGAACTTGATTAGAGATCTCAGGTTGATTATCCAACGGCATGTATTGGGCCATAATTGCCCGTATCTCCGAATCCATATATCTCTGAAAAAAATTAACAAACAATATTAAGATGACAATGCCCAAAATGGGGCATGTAATGTTGGCAATAACAAACAAGATTCTTGAAAAAAAGAAAAAGTAAAGCCATTTGGGAAGAGTGACCATTTTGTCACACTTGGCAAAAAAATTTACAAGACTGCCATGTCAACAGTAAATTTTGCCAAAATGCCACGCGGCATATTTCGCTACACTGTGTAGCGAAATATGTTTGCAAGTAATTCGCTACACAGTGTAGCGAAATATGTCATGTCAGGATACACAGTCAGCAAAAAATGACACGTGTCAAGCAGGCAGAAATTCGCTACACTGTGTAGCGAATTATGCTTGAATTCTACCTGCTTGACACGTGTCATTTTTTCTGACTGTGGAGCCTGACATGGCATATTTCGCTACACTGTGTAGCGAATTACTTGCAAACATATTTCACCACACAGTGTAGCGAAATATGCCGCGTGGCATTTTGGTAAAATTTACTGTTGGCGTGGCAGTTTGGTAAATTTTTTTGCATAGTCACTCTTCCGGCCATTTGAGGTCAATGTGGCATTAGTATATTAAAAGGCATACCTGGATTCTGTACTTGTAAAATACATATCCTCCAGCAGCAGCAGCGACCATTACGAGAATAATCATCCAAATAAAACCCACGCTGGCCACTGAAGCTGTATATTTACCTGCATTTATATGATATCACAACAGTGAAAAATAAATTATTCTACTAATCTCAATAGCTATGCAAAATATATATATATATATATATATATATATATATATATATATATATATATATATATCTACGTAGATACTTAGAAAAGGCCGAAATAAAATGTAGAGATCTTAAGAAACTATACACAGATAAACATAACCTCAAAACTCACTAGTCATGCAAGGAGTATCTACAACACAATCAAGATAATGAACCACTCACTGAGTTTGGAATAGTAAACGCACTAGAATTTTCAACTTTGGTTTAAAAATGCTAGTCTGAACAAAAACTCCACATTTGACAGATAGAAAAAGAAATGCCATAGGAGCATTATCAAGTGACATGTGTAAAGTCTTGTTTTCCATTAAGAGTCATCTATTAATTTAAATGATAATACAAAAAACTAACCATTTAGCAAGGCAGTTTTGAAAGTGGCACATAAAGAGATAGTAAAACTAAAAAAAGCCTCACCAATACAGATGTCATTTTCTCGCGAATAGAACAAACCACTACTGCATCTGCACTCATAACTCCCCCAGGTATTTTTGCATTTGCACTCAGGGCACTGGCAGGCTGATTTCTCTTTGCACTCATCAATATCTGCAACATAATCAGAACAAGAAACATAGAAAATCCAATATCATACTTCAGAATAGCTAATAGCAGCATGATTATTAACAATTGCAAGAATCAAGATCACATTCAATCATTCTGCATTAGTCCACTAAGAGAAGTTACTCTCTCTGATGTGTGTTTGTTATTCACTGGACACTAGAATAATCACCAAAGTTAGAACAGCAAGTACCTTCACATGACTGGACACCATCACCTCTGAACCCAGGTGGACACTCACAACCTTTTCTATAGTCATCCTGCATTATCAGTTATCAAAGAAGGAAACAAATGATAGTTAATATCTAGCATATGGATCTTATACTCTTACTCCCACCATTCATAACCAAAAGGATGAACAAGACAACTTACAAGACAAGCAGAGTAAACCCTGCCACCTTGGGCTTCCTTCCAACAACCTCCATTATTGATGTCACACCTCAAGGCTCCTGAAGCTGTTAAGAAATTCAAATTCACAGTTAAATTGAAACAAGAAAAAAAAATTGAAATTAACATAAATAGAAACTTCCCACCCTCCCTAACACAAACACTACAAGGACAATACAGAAATTAGGTAGGATGACAGTTACAGATAGAAAACATTAGTATAGGCAGAAATATAAACCATAAGCATAATTTGGTGGGATGATGATGATGATTCGTGTTATTTTTTGAAGTTATATTGAAAGACTCATTAGTCTTGGGAAACCTATACATTTTCTGTTTGTGCTCTTTCTTTGGCAGAAATGGATTTTAAAATATGTAGAATGGAGAATGGAGCAATTTCTCTGAATTCGAAAAACTAATTTACCTTCACAGTGGGTATATCCATCACCAAAAAACTTCACATTTTGTACAATAGGGCACTCACATACTCTTCCTCGGAAAGTGTCCTATAATTAGAAAAACATATGCAGATGGTTGAACCAGAAGAACCAGAACGCACACGAAGTAAAAATCTAATAAAACTTTTCAAATAATGTGTCTGACAAAGTTCAGTTAACCAAATACCCTGCATGCAGTAATGTTAGAAGATTTGTCCTGCCAACAACCACCATTGTTTTCCAAACACTCATTTGTTTCCATGTCTGCAAAGAATAATCAACAAAACCATTAGCTTCTGAACAAGATTAAATTTCATTGAGTCAGTTGCCAATACCCCTATGATTTTATAAAGATCAAAAGATTTCCTGATGCATTTTTTCGCGAAAAAGGTAATGAAATAAGGACCTGGAGTTAAGCAAATAGATGGTTCAGTGGTCTCTTGAAAACCTGCACATATTGCCTTGAGAACTGCTGCTCTTGATAACTTACCTGAAAGCAGTAAGAAACAAAAATTATAAAATAGAATACATTGAAATAGCTGTCAAGACATCTAGAAAAGTTGCCTCAGACCTCTATACTGTCTGTTGTTTATAACAAGAGTAGGCAGTATAGTAACATCACCACGAGAGCCTTTGCCAATCTGAAAACAAAGTTGGAACAAATGCAATACAATCATGACACAACAGAATGACATAATTGAAAGAACAAGCCCACAAGAATGCCATTAAAAAGTTTTGCATTTTAGAAAACCAACCTGTGCATCTTGTTCAGCCTTAAGAACAGGGTTTTCAACATCTGCATGAGGATCCCCAACACAGTCTTTGATCTTCTTCAGATCAACACCTGTAAAGTAAATGGGAGAAAAAGGGGAGACAGATATATATGTCTTCTTAGAATAGAATGATGTGGTAAACCATTTTTTCCAGAACATTTGAGATAACCAAAAACAAGTTAATTAAGTTTATGCAAAAAGATTAAAAAAAATATAGAGTATAGATGGGTACACGATTCTTTTGTTGGGTTTGTGAAAATGGCAGTGATATTTCTTTTAAGTGCAGATATAACTTTGGTTTTTTTTCCATATTTACACCAAAGCTTCAGCATTTGAAAGAACAGGGAAGTTCCAGGGATGCAAAATTATTAAAAAAGAAAAAAGAGAAAAGAGAAAAAAACTGAAACCAGGAAATTATATGAACATATTGTGTGAAATTAAAAGCATTATATGATTTTTCTTGCTGCTGACTTGGCCAAATTTTTGCCAGCCATTCAAAATCAAACACCAAAGAAAAACACAAGCCAGTTGCAAAGTGTATGCAAAGAAACATGAAATGCTCAACCTACCAAGAGACCTAATAACTTGATCTGAGCATTCTTCTGTGAAATTATTCCTTCCCATGGGGCAACGAATTGCAAAGTCAGTTACATAGTCCCACCATTGCCAAGGTTTTCCACTTTCATTCGCCACTTTAAAGAAGCAAGCTTGGCGTAAGTTTTGAACAACAACATCTTTGCCATCATACCCTTTGCTGAAATCTTGCTCAGGATCTGGAGCACAGTACCTTCCATTGTTTATACACTGAGACTTGCACTGTTTGCTTAAGAGGAATGCTTCTGGGCAAAACCAAGTTATATAGTGAGGGGTAAACTGAGTGAACCCTTTCTGCTCAAGTAGCTGAGCTGCCCCTTTAAAACCCTTCAGAAAATTAATTTGACTGTCACACTTTTGCCCGCACTCATCATTGCTATTTGTCCATAACTCATACTCAACTCTCTCGTCAGGATGCGGAAGAGCCTCTCTCCAATCAAGATTTATGTTAACTGTCTCCCCATTAGAGAGAGCCTCCTTGATGCTATCCCCCAAGGATTTGCTGATAAGCGCAGAAGGAATACTAATCTTTTCCACATAATCATCATTTAAAGCATTCCCTGCTTCAGGAGTGTCCATGGTGATCAATGTTTCTGCCCTGTCATCAGCTACAAGAATAGCTGCTGCTCCACCATTCTGTGCATTCCAAGCCTTCACAGTGAAGTAGCAATCTACAGAAATGATCAGAGAAAAAAATTTACATCCAGGAGCCATTTTTGCGTGGGTGTGTGTTTGTAACAACCTATGCATTGACATATCCTCATTATGGAACCATATAATCTAAGATAAAATAGGTAACCAAACCAGAAAACATGTCCCTTTTTTTTGTGTTTCTACTTCAATAGAGTACTTGCTATATCAACTCCCATCATCCACACCCCAAATAAATAAATAAGAGACTTAACATAAACTCTGCATCCTTGACCTGAACATTGAACGCAACGTTTAGCAAATCTTTTGCAGCAAGTTCCAGTGAACTTATTACATCATATCCGGAAGACCTACTAATTAAGTTAAAACCAAAATGCTCCAAGTTATTATAAAAACGGCTATTCAGTTAATTGAATAATCTCCATGTCAGGCCATAAGTAGCATAAAAGAAAAGAAAGCAATTCCAAAACACAATATATTTAACCAAAAAAAAATAAAAAATTACCATAATCAAAATACAGCATGGAACTTGAAACAGTAACTCAGTACAAGTTTACCACCTTAAAAACCCATGTTATGCAATCAAGCAACCACTAAACAAAAACTTTGACTTTTTTTTTTGTCTCCTTTCCTGAGATTTCCACTAATTGAAGACTTTAAAAGGACTATTAAGAATCTCACCTCCACGATCAACAAGAAGAAAGGTGGGGAAGCCTCCTGGCTTGGACTGAAACGAAGCACTAACATCACTGAAGTTACTGCATCCCTTCTGATTCACCTTTGGGTACATCACAGAGCCAATCATGGTTCCTCCATACTTAGGTACCCCAAAATTCCCAATAGCACATTCATAATTACCCTTCAATTTTTCCGGAGAACTGAGTTTCAAACTGTTCTTCTCCACCACAAACTTACCCAAACAACACCCCAACAGCAAAATCCAAACACACAGCAAAAAACTCAGCTTTATGCTCATCTTTTCTCCCCGCTACAAAGTATAAACCTCTTCTGTTGCAGAAGAGAAAGATGATCCAGATCAACAAAATAAACTGAAATTCAAAGTGCAATTAATGCAGCAACTGTCACTAAAGAAGGAGACCCAGATCAGGAAAATCAAAATTGAAGCCAAAAAATGTGGCTTTTCTCGTCTATGAAGGTTTATGTTGTTCTGGGTCAACACATTGATGCGTAACAAAGGAAAAGCATCGAAATAAATGGTATAAACGTGTTCGTTACGTTCAACGGTATTTGGAATCGTCGCCTAAGAAAAAAACAAATGCAGAGAAGAGGTTTGCATTTTCGGACTATCCACATTTTTTTCTTAAATTATTCGTCAGAGATAAAGTTAAACATATTTTTTCGGAAAAATTGTTTATCATCTAAAATGACACAATTATATCCTTTCACTTTCACAAAGAGGTGGGACTTACACTTTTATTTATTTTTTTGTCAACCCTCTTTCTTCCTTTATCTATCTCTTTCTCTCTCTTAAGATGACACAACTTTACATTTTTAAAATGACACATATTTTTCCCCTATTTTTATATAGGGTTTGTGTTTGTCATTTTAAATAACAGAAAGTTATGTCATTTTAAGAGAGATACAGACACAGGAAATTTGAATTTTAAATTAAAAAAACCACCCACTTTCTCTCTCTCTCATGATTTCTGTTTTTTCTGTGTCTATCTATCTCCTAAAATAACATAACTTGTGTCATTTAAAATGACAAACACTAAACTCTTTTATATATGATTTTATGGAGAGGTTATAGTTAATACTTAATACTTAATACCTTTTTTTCTTATTAGTTGTTACTATCAAATCTTAACCGTTGATTTTCGTCAATCTAACGGCTATAATTTATTAGAATTAATAATTAATTAATAAATGTGATCCAATAAATTATAACCATTAGATTGACAGAAATCAACGGTTAAAATTTGATAGTAACAAGTAGTAAGAAAAAAAATAGTAATTATAACTTTTCCAATGATTTTATTGTTATTATTATTATGATTTATTCATATTTTATATTAGTCAGTTGATTTTTTTTCTTTCATTAATTCTTAAGTTATCTTTTAACGATCATATGATTGAATTATTTCAAATACTAATATCCTTTAACAATTGATTTTAGCTATATTAAATCATAAAACTCCTTCAATTTAATAATTCAATAAAAAATAAATTTTGAAAATACAATATGAAACTATTTAATAAAATTGTTTTAACAATTTAACATTTTCCAGTATTTTATAACTTTTGTATAGCTTCATTTTGATATAGATAGTGATTTATATGGCTGAAAATTTAGATTTTTTGAAAAATCAAAAATCGATACAATCTAAGTCCAATAAAATTGGATTTGATCGGATTTGAACAAAATTTAAACCGAAGGATGATTAAATGATCAAACTGAAAGGATTAGATCAGATGATTTTTGCTTCAAAATTGATCAAATCCAGACCGAGAACACTCCTAGTAGGTAGTAATAGAAGTGGCTGATGGCCACCAGCGATGGCGGTGGCAGTTGGTCGGTGGTAAGGGCTGTCCTTCACATGCCCAATAATGTTCGTATGGGAAGAATATAGGGTTATAATTGGAATGAGCGGGATGTGACATTTGCTATCCTATTCTTTCCATTCCTAACCCGAGACCCCTCTAATTTATCCTATTGCAGATATGAAAAAAAGAGCCAACAATATTTGCTTATCGTATCTCTTTGGTTCACCGAGCAATGGATAAGGACAGGATATTATAACATTTCTTATCTTATCCTCCTTATCATGTCCATCAAACAAGCCCTAAGAGATTAAGAGAAGGTTCAAGACTTGAAGCAACAACAAATTTAAAATAAATACATGAACAATTGAAATTAAAAAATAGCAACTTACATCTTCAATTTCAAACATATAAATACATAATACATTGGATCAATTTGGATTTAATTGGTTTTCACCAACCAAATCGAAAATCAATCCAATCCAATTAAAATATACGATTTTTTTCGGTTTTCAATTTTTTGATTTTCAGTTAATTCGGTTATCAATTTTTTGGTTTGATAATCATGTTTTGAATCAGTTTGGATCGGTTGATGAACACCACCACCACCATCGCCACCAGCCATCACAATGTGCTACCAACCACCACCATTGTCACCGGCTACAACCACTCGCCACCATCGTTCAGTCCTTACAATTGCCCCCACTCACCAGCATCACCATCGCTACCACTGTCACCACCACCCCTAACCACCAAGCACCAATTGTCACTGTCACCACTACCACCATCCACCGCCTTCAATTAGCCACTACAATTGCCACTTGTCAGCGTCAGTGTTGCCACCACTACCACTTCTTTCACTAACCACTCTTACATGCTGCCATCGCAACAAAAACTAACACCATCGCCACTATTGCCACTGGCCACCAGCACTCCTAACTGTTGGACAAGTGGCTTCAATACTCAAAAGGGGGTGCATTGAATTTTATAAAATCTTTTCGCAAAGTTCCTCCTTTGATGTTTTAAATAATATTTCTCCAATTAAATTATTTCACAAGGAATATTCTAAGTGTAGGTACTAGTGTGTAATCAATAAATATAAGCTAGTGAATAAATAAATATAATCTAAAAATACAATTTCAAGACAAAGGTAAAGAATTCAAGGTTAGGGAAATTGCAAACTAGATGTATCCTAATTCGGTCACCACCACCGTGACCTATGTCCAGACTGAAGCTGCTTGATCAATCTTTTTCACTAACTATCAAGCTTCACGGGTGCTTGATAAACCACTACAATCTTCTAAAACTTCGGGCGCTTGGTGCCTTACAACTTTCAATACATATTTGATTAGAAATTTGGTAATCTCTCAGGTACAAAAGGTTCACTCCCCTCTCAATTTGAAGAACTAATAGGTGTATAGCTTTAAATTATACAAATTACAAGTTGTGTAAATTATACAAGTTATATAAGTTAAAGAACTAATAGGTGTATAGCTTTAAATCAAAGATGAACTCAAGAATATGTAATGATCAAAGTATGTAACCAATGAGCAATAATGAGTTTGAAGGAGTAATAATAGTTCAATAATTGATGTGTGTTGGTTCAACATTTATTACTGTAGCAACAAGTATATATAGTGGCATCTCCAACAAAAACTAATCGTTTTTAGCTGTTATTCACCTTTTTGGAAAGTATTTACTCGAGTAAATATCGAGTCTTCCCTGAGTAAATTGTTCTTTAGGGTTTCCCCGAGTAAATCCCTTGTTTTCCCTAAGTAAATAATTTACTCGAGTAAATATTCTGGTTTCCCAGAGTAAACTAGACATGTGACAAAAAAGAACATGTAACTCACTTCCTTTCAATTCCTAACCAATTTTAACATACTGAGCATATGTAATTGTACTTGAGAAAGGTGTTTGTGGGTTCAAAACACTTGAAGGCAATCTCTGTCCAATTTTTAGGGATCAAACCATGAAAACGTGCTTTCTTTCTCTAGGCAATGTCAAAATTCCATTTCCTTTAATTCAAAGATGATTCCAATTTTGTGAGCACATATAATTGGACTATGTAGATGTGTTTGTGTCCACAGATCATGTTAAGGACCTTCCAATGTAATTTTGACATGTTGAACTAAGGTTTTTACACATTTTTGATTATGCAATGATATGAATGACTTGAGCTCATGCAATGCTATATACTATACATCTTTACATATATGTTCTATGTCCTAAATATGTATTCTAATGTGATCTTAGACTTAGCTTTATGCTTTGAGACTTGAACCTTGATTTTGCCATTTGAGCCCTTGTCTTTCGTATTGCTTTCACATACATTTTGATTCTTTTTGAATATTGTTTCTCTATAACTCTTGAGAAACTTGTTTATTATCATCAAAACTTAGGGTCTCGTGGCATCATCAACTATATCAGCTTTGAGTGCGTAGCATTCACATCATCACCTTGATTCCACACTAACCACTAGGCACCAACCATCGTTGTTGTCAATCAATCGCTACAATTGTCACTGATGGAGCTATCACCACAACACATTGCCACCTGTCCCGCAACTAATACCACCATCAATTCAATCGGTCACCCACTGCATTAGCTGCCGCCGCCACCACGCACCAATGTTACTAGCCACCGACCACTAATATTGATAATCAATTTAAAACATAATTTTAAAAATTTATTTGGTAAGGATATAATTTTGAATATTTTAAAAAAATTGAAACTTATTTATGTATTTTAATATAGGGTTTTATTTATCTCAAGTAACAGCAAAATCATACTGTCTCCTGCCCTCACATCGATAAGTGAGCTACTCTCTCTTTTTTTGTTTTTTTCCTCTCACCTGATAGGTCCTGCTTTTGAATGAGTGTGCAGGAACAAATTTTTTTTTCCCGTTACTTGAGACTAATAAACCCCTATAATATATTCTATTTAAATAAAGAAATGGAATTTCGAAACAGTACGCAATTATTTTGCCATATAAAATAGGAAGAAGCCATACTTGTGTGCTAAGTGGGAAGACCGTGAAGGATCCTATGCACTTGAATTAATTAAAACTGCACAGGATCTTAGGAGGCGTTTGGTACCAGAGAATTTTTTTTTTCTTGAAATCTCAATTTTTAAAAATATAATTTTTACATTCAGTTTATAATAATATCTGAAAATTAAAATTTTAAAAAATTCAATTTCTCGAAAATCCAAAAAAATGTCGCATACCAGACACCACCTAAGATTCTTTAACTCTTCAATTTATTTATTTTTACGATAAAATATTTTAAAAAACACATAATTTAGTTAATGTTAGTCGTTAGATCACAACAGCACCAAATGATTTTTTTTTTTTTTTTTTTTATAACTTCTGTGAATCAAAGTTTGTGTTATGTGTGCTACGTGTTGAACGATGGATCGACGTCTCAACGTTTTAAAATCTAAATGAAGATTGAATTGACAATATATTTGAGTCGTGTTTTACTTGATTTCATAAGTTAAATCTATAATTAAATTCTGATTGAATCAAATAATATTCGAATTCAGAACTGAATTAATGTATAATATAATTTTTATTTGTATCTAACAACTGAAATATCGAAAAAAAATTAAAAATATAACTTATATAAAATATATATATATATATATATATATATGGAAAAAAAATTATATTATAGAA